ATGTGGCTGGACAGTGTCCTCTGACTGGGGAGCGGTTGCCTTGCTGATCCAAGGCCTTCACCCAGGCCCTGGCCCTCCACTGTGGGTCCTCTTTCCAGTGCCTAATTCCTGCCCCAAGTCCCTCCCGGTTCCTCCTGTGACCGGGAGCTGACAGGGCACCCTTTTGCCAAGCAACTGCCAGGGAGTAAGCTCCCACCCTGTGTGAGGAGAGCCCAGGGCTCCCAGGGCAATGCCCTCAGCTCTTAGATGGTCAGCCCAGGCAGAGCTGCTGACCCCTTGCACCCATAGGGTCCCTCTGCTCTGGGGGCGCCTCCAGCCCTGGCCAGCTGCTTTTCATGTCAGGAAATTCTCATGACTTCTAAGAGGAGCCCCCATGGGGACAGTCCAGTAGGCCTATTCTCGTCCACGTTCAGGTTCAGGCCACATCTCACCTAGGTCTGACCTACGGTTAGTCTATGTCTGAACTGTACTCACTCTGTATCCCCGGCTCTGGATCCTCTACGTAGTCTACACTAGTGTGTATCCACCTACATTATTGTTTACCTAGCCTCCACCTAGCCCATGTCAATGCCTACTCTATGCCATAACTAGATGTGAATCTACTCTACAGCTTGTCTACACCCGGCCTGCGCCCAGTGGGTCCCTTTCCTTTTCTCCATACCAGTCTCCAACCCCAGCTAGCCTTCACTGTCTGGCTCATGGGCATCCATGCTGTATGTACCCCCCGCTGTCTTCTTCCCGTCTGTCCTCGCTATGTCTAGTCTCCTCTCTGTATTTCGGGATGTACCTGCTGGCACAACCCAGAGACAGACAGCACAAAGCATGGCTGCCAGTAGGTGCCCTGTGAACACTGCTAAAGGCTTTCAGCTTGGGAAGCAAGGGGCGTCGCCAAGCAGCTGGGAGCTGAATTGGAAAGGATTCCCAGAGAAACCAAGCACCCTAGGGGTGGGAGACAGGCGCTCAGGCTGGACAAGGTCCTGGAGATTGTCCCCCATGGACCGAGGGATGGGAATAGAGGTGACGACAGATTCGGTTTTGATAAAACACACTGAAAATAAAACTTTCCATGACCCCTAATGATATGCTCAATGTCAGAAAAGGAAAGACAGCAGCACGGGAGCCAGAGCTTCTGCTCCTTACCAACCCCAGACTTCCTCAGGGGAAAAGCCACACCAGCTGTGATTTCATCTTAAAATCGGGAGCCATCTCACCACAAAATCATGAAAAGTTCATTTCTGTTAGGGTGAAGGCGTTCCTGCACCCGCTGTCTGACGGGTCACAGCGTGGGGGAGCTGCGGCAGGGCCACACCGTCTGGAAACTGGAACCTTCGGGAATGCTAAGTGTTTGTTTATGATGCTCACGACGTGGATAACAGGGCGTACCTCATCAATAATAACAGTAGGTATTGCCTGAGATTGCAGGAAAATTCCCAGAATGAGACTAAGGATACAATGGAGACATGCCATGAGGTGCGTTTCAGGGTCTCTCAGGATACAAACAATGGTGTTATTCCTCAAGTGTAAACAACAAGAAATATTTATCCCAAGGTTAACAATTTACACTAGCCCCTGCCCCCAACCCCATCCTAAAGCCACAACCGCTACAACAGCCTAGCTACAGAACCTCTCCACAGTGCGCCCTGCTCCACCTTCCCCCCACACACTGAGTCACAGTTACCAGGAAGGTCCACTGCTGGTCCCAGGAGGGGACTGCTGTGCAGTAATCATCAAGGAGCACAAACAAGAGCGGTTCCAGGAACTTCCTCCAGAGCGGCTGCAGGCTCGGTGCTCAGCAGTGCCCCTGTGCACATCCTGCCCGTCTTGCTCAGTGAGCCCAGAACGGCAGGGAGGGAACCCTAGAGCTGGAAGGGTGCAGACCATCTAGGAAGCAAGGACGCCAACGTCGTGGGCTGTCTAGTCTGGGCTTTGAACTGTGGATCAATAACCACTGACGACAGATTCGGTTTTGATGAAACACACTGAAAATGAAACTTTCCATGACCCCTAACGATATGCTCAATGTCAGAAAAGGAAAGACAGCAGCACGGGAGCCAGAGCTTCTGCTCCTTGCCAACCCCAGACTTCTTCAGGGGAAAAGCCACACCAGCTAGATCAGTAGCTGAACAGTCATGGCAACGGGCAGAGGGAAATCGTTCCTTCCCTCTCAGAACACCAAGCCAGCAGGAATGAGGCGCGTCCTGAGCCGGGGCTTCCTGGCAGTGTCCCAGACTACTGGGCTGGCACGAGGAACCATAATGGGAAAAACACTCCCTTGAAGATCACTTTGTGAAGTCGGGGAAACCTTGAGGGCATCACAGGAAGGACGAGGGAGGAGCTGCTGCGGGGGCTTTGCAACCTGCTTCCTTCCTGTGGAGTCCCAGCGGCCTCCAAAGGAAACCAGACACTCCAAGCACAGATGGAGACCCACAGACGTAAAACCAGTCACTGCTGGAGTCTCCACCACCTTCCAAACCCAGACATGCCGCCCACTAGCACTGCCTCTGGGCCCGGGGCTCCTGAACATTTGTTGCATGAATGTAAATGAATGGGAATCCTTCATGTGGATGTCTTGGGCATAAATAGAAACTCCTGAAGAACCCAGCAGGAGCCTATTCAGATGCCAGGACGTTGAAGAAAACCCAGGGCGCAACCTCGGGCCTGGGGCTGGCGCGGCTGAGGTTGGGCTGACACCCCGGTGAACTGTTCAAACACACGGGTGCTCTCCTGACGCGGCAGTTCTGCAGTCTTACAAAGTTCAAGATCGGGAGAAATGGAGACCTGCTCCTGCCACACACAAAATACTCAACATCAGATCTGCCGTGTCACGAAAAGAAGGCTTGCTGCCTCTGAGTGAGAGCCCGTTTCATCTCAGGCCCGCTTTCCCTTTCCTGCTCATGTCGCGGTACAGAACCACCCGAGACTGGGGCACTCCTGCGCAGTTGTTGAGGACCCACCTCTTTCTTCACCCAGCTTCACTGTCACCTGCACAACAAGTTGTCGCCAAGTATCATCTCGAGGTAGAAAGAAAGAGCCAGGCTCCCCTGGACACGGTGGGCCTTTTATTTGAACTGAAGGCGTCATTACATAGTGCAAATGTTTCTTTGGTAATGTACTGAATACAGTGAACATGAAAAGGCATTGGCTGTTGGTGACAGAACAGGAAACAAATATATACACTAGGCTTCAGGCCACAGCACGGCCCTCACCTGCTGCCAGGTCACTTCTCAGGTCACCAAGACGGAGCGCCAGCTGGGGACTCCACAGGCAAGTCAGTTGCAGTTACAGAGATTGACAGCCCTAGACCCTTGCCCCAGCCACGCACTGCACTGCAGCCCCTCTGTGTGCAGCAGCAGGGCCCCCAGTGCAGGTCGCAGCCACTCTGCCACCTGAGCCACTAGCCATAGGATTTTAGGCAAACTCGTGAGCTTCCTCGTTCACAGAACTGTTTTAAGATATGCTCAATGCTAAATTTGATTTAATATTTCAGAAGAAATGCTGTGGCCTGGGAAATACAAGCCAGCCTTAATTTATTCTTTAGCAATGTGAGGATAAGCAGTCCAATACCCACACTGGTACACAGACCCTAGTCCACTGCCAACACCCCACGCTCTGTGCAGCAGGCCTCAGCGACCCCCTGGGTGGACACCAGGCTAGCCATCCACCACACCAACCTCCCCAGCGGGGAAGGCCCCTCCTGGGCCAGATGCTGCAAGAAGCCAGTCTTCCCTGTCCCCACGATGGTCTCACTGCATGTTCCCAGGCTGACTCCTGCCACCTGGCTCTAGACCTGGGTCCTCCGCGTCCCCTCCCAGCCAACCTCAGGCAGGGAGAGACTCAGAAATGTGTAGAAGGAAATCAGCAAGTTCAGAATGTTCCTCAAAACCCAGATCACTCCGTCTTTAGACTAAGACGGAAGGTTTTGGTCAATTAAAAAGAGACCATGAGGTATGACAGTTGCTTTTCACTAAATTCTAAAAACAAAAATTAAAAAATAAAAATAAAACAAAAGAATACTTTTGTATGATGATGTTTCTGCCATATCTACACCTAAGAAATGGGCAGGCTTCTTTTTCATATAAAACATCATGCAGTTAAAAAATACACAAGGTACGGGGATTCATTTTTTAAAGGTTCACATGATGTGGAGTCAGAGTCCCCGCGCTGGGACTCCGGTTGTCACTGCCCTGCAGAAGGACCTGGAGAGTAGGCCTTGCTCGTGGTCAGCAGAGGAGCTGGCAAGCGCACCAAGGCCGCAAGCCACTGGCCAGTGCATGGGCCTGCCAGGAGGCTACAGGAGGAAGAGGGAAGGTTTCCACTCCGGCTCCAGGAGAAAGAGCCCGTCTGTATGGTGGCCTGGTGACGTCCCTCCGTGGGAGGAGGAGCAGTCACTGACACACGGCTGCTTCGCTTCATGGTTAAATACTGAGGAGCTGAGAAAGGACCGAGAAGGTGAGGGCAGACAGCAGGCAGGGAGCGGGAGCCCGAGCGACCCGACCGGGTCCCCAGAACGCTCTCCTAAAGATCCCGTTTTGTTTCGTGCCAAATGTGATTTTCTTTTTTAGTGTGGTCTGATGCAGCCCAGGCTTCAAGAGCCTCCTGCCGCCTCTCTGTGAGGCACCCTACTGCCGGCAACACCCGTCTGCCAGTGCCTGGCCCCAGAGCCAGGCGCAGCAGGCGCTTAGAGGCCTCCTGCCTGACGGAAAAGAAGTGGTGTTATCAGGCAGAATCAATTTAGGAGCCTAAAGAGTTAGCTGTGCGATTTAATAGTAGCACCAGATTTTCACTTGAAAGAATTAAATAAAACCTGAGAAGTCTAACACAGAGTCGCTCCCCTTCCTGCCTGCCGCTTCCTCCACGGAGCGCAGGTCTGGGGCGCCTGGGCTGCTGTCTGAGGCCCAGCCCAGTCCCGACACTCGAGTGCAGGGGCTCCCTCTGGTCTGCACTCCTGGTGGACTTTGTTCCTGCAAGAGCTGTACAGACCACCCGAGAGCCTGCAGGAGCTAGGGCTTCTCCTCCGTGCCTTTCTCCACACAGACTGGACAGCAGGCTCCTTCCGCTTCCACGGGCTCGGGGCAGGTGGCAGGAGGGCAGGATTCCACGAAGCAGGTGACCTGCCCGTCCTGGAGGAGGGGGAGATGGGCACAGTGTCATTTCAAGAACTGACCTGGACATGGGGCCGGTCACTGCGTATCCACGTCCCCACCCCTTGGCCTGCAGAGGCCTTCCCTCTCCTGTGACTAGAAAAGGGGACCTTCTTGGCAGACTTCCCAGCTACAGACTCAAGGTAAGGGAACCGCCACTTGGATCATGGGTGACTCACCCTCCTCCTACCCCTGATTCCTCCAGGACCATGGACCAGAGAACACCAGGAGGCCACCTAGGCCTGCTCTCCCTGTTTGCTGCCCAAAGGAGACAGGCCCAGGGTGCTTGGGTGCCCTCCCCACATCCCTGGCAAAGGCACAGCCTCATCTGCGGCGGCACCCGAGGCGCCTGGGGGTCCTCATGCTCACAGCCCCGACAGCCCCAGTCTGGGCTGCAGGTGGGCTTCTGCGGCCTGCTGGTACCCACGCCCCACTGCTCACCTGCTCCCAAAGCCAGCGCGAGCCCCATTTCCTGTGTTGCTAGTGCCCCAGGCCAGAACTGGACAGAGCCAGCGGGGCAGGTGATCACCACGGACTCTCTGGGGGAAGGAGCCCCAGCGGCTGTGTTTTCAGGTTTCCGGGGTGGACATGTTAGTGCCAGAGCTGGCAGAAGGTGGAGCTGGAGCACACAGTGCCCACTGCTTACCCTGCCCTGAGCATGGCTGCACACTGCCCGGGCCTGGGCACCAGCACTGCCTGGCAGGTACAGCTACAGCTGGCACCAAGAGGTGGCCCCTGTGCTCCCGTGGAAAGGCAGGGACAGGGGAGGAGCTGGACTGGCCCCTGACGTGTGGCACGGCGGGGGCTCTCTGTACTCACTTTGCACCCACAGACGGTGCAGGGGTCGGGTCTCCACGTGGCGCTGTTGACACGGGGCTCTCCACTGGCATCCACACACTCTGTGGTGCTGAGCCGGGACTCCAGCCTGTTGATCTGCAGCAGGGCACAGAGCGTCCCCGTCACCTCTGAGCCAGCCTCCCCCCAGGAGGTGACACCTTACACTGTTCACACACAAAATTCTGAAGCACTGCTGGGAACCTCAGTGGCACTGACCAGACAGGCTCCCGACGGCCTGGCAGCCTCTCTGAAGCCAGAGGAGCTCAACAGAACAAAAAGGAGGGGACTTGGGAGCGAGGGCGCTTTCCTCCCATGACTGCCCCCAATCCAGGGCAAAGCGCACTGCACGCAGTGTTCCAAGGAGCGGTGGCGGGCCAGCCTGGGGATTAGGCCACCTTGCTTCCCACGGGTGGGGTGCTGGTGTGCACTGGACACATGGTGTCCACACTGAAGGTGTGGGTCAGTGATGCAGGAGGTGGGGGAGGCTGCAGGAGCCCAGAAGACCCTCTGAGGGCCACCTTCCCACACCCTGGCCTTTGTGCAGAGGGCCCCTTCTACGAGCAGGGAGAAGCCAAGGTCCTGCCACTGTCTGCAGCCATGCACTCCATGAGAGGGATGCTGTGCTGTGGCTCACTGAATGCTTCCCACTCGGGGTGTCCTGTCCCTTGCAGCTGAGCCTGATCTCAGTGGTGCTCAGGTCTGGCAGAGAGAGAGCACACTCACCACACGCCTTCCTGTTCTGGGAACAAATGTCTGTGAACCCTGCCCAGCTGCAGCGGCAGCTGCCCTGACAGTGGGCCACACCAGCTGTGCGCAGAGGAGACCACCAACCTGTTGCCTGTGTGTGTCCACAGGGGCAGCTTCTTGTCGCAGCCCGCCAACCACAACAGCGGTCTCGGCCTTGCAGAGCACACCCTTACCTATGCACGGGCCAGGCTGCCCCAGAGTTGAGTGACCGCAGGCCTGTCTACCCTGCCAGGACCCTAGGCACGGGCGGCTGATCCCGAGTTAACTCAGAGGCGGGCCTGTGTGGGTCTCAACGGAGACATGCGTGTGAGCACTGAGCTCAGCACAATGACAAGGCCAGGCCTGAGCCATAGCTGCCTGAACATCTCCACATGACCAAGGAGCCAGCAGGGTGTCGCCTGAGTCCCCGTCTGTAGCCTGCGGCCACCCCTCTCCAAGCAGCTGAACAGGAGTTCAGGTTGGCCTTCTCCCCAGCGGCCCCTCTTGGGGCTTCCTGAGACTTTGCACCCGCTGTGTTCTCAGCAAAGTCACCTGGCTGGTGGCCACACAGCCCATGACACTCACTACCCACTGCCTGTTGTCCCTGACCCTCTGGGAAACCCGGGGAGACGAGCAGGGCCCACAGCAGCAAGCTGTGGACTCGAGTGGTGCCCAGCAGGGTCCTCGCCCTCAGTCCTTGGAGAAGGAAGGCCTCCTGATCAGAGGAGGCAGGCGGGCTGCGGAGAAGGCTGCTGGTGGAGGGGCTCAGCCCGCCTCACCTGCTTCCTGAGCTCTGTGATGGTCTTCTGCATTTCCAGGACAAACTCTCGGAAGTCGCTGGTCGCTGGTGCTCCCGGGCGCTCCCGGGCGGCTGAGGTGGTGTTGCCCTGTAGTTCGCTGGGTTTCAGCACACTGCGGGAGGGGAAGCACAGACTCACCCACGGTTCAGATCCTGGCTCCTGAGCTCCCTGAGCACAAGGGCCGTGGCCCAGCGTAGCCCCCAGGGTGAGGCTGCAGGCCTGTTCCAGCTCCCCGGACATCCCTCCCGTGACAGCCTGGCTGAAAAAAAGCGCAGGCTGGCAGGGAGGCCGCGGCCTGTCACAAGGCATCCGGCAGCTGGGGGCCTGCTTCCAGTGTACCAAGGGACCAGCACCTTCGCATCTTCCGGGGTCGCATTCCCCGGCGGGGCTTGTCCTCCCTGTAGCTGAAGTCCAGAGACCGCCTGCCTCGGAAGTGGTAGGAAAACGCGTTGAACTGTCCCCTGGTCCTACAGTCTAAAGAGAAACCAGAAGAGGGCACGCTGCAGACAGTGAGGAACTACGGTGCATCTCATCAAATGTGAACCCCCTTTGTGGGGCAGTCAATGAACCAATTGTGGTGCCTGGGGCCAGGAAGGGATTGTGGATCTGACCTCTGAGGTCCCTAGGCATCCAAAAAGTGAGAGTGGGCCCCACTCCAGCACCCACGATGCCACCAGGCCACCCTGTTGTCTGACCAGTCCCCCACAGCTCACCAGGCCAGGGGCTGACTCCAGAGGCTGCTGGCGTGGGGGCCCCCTCCTATGGCCCGGTGGCCTGGTGCACCTGACAACCTCCCCCACCCATCCTACGGAGGTGGGTCCACCTCTGCTCCGCCCAAGGGAGTCCCAGACACCTTCTCTGAGGCTTTTCTCCTGGGCCCCAGGTGGAGTGAGATGCTCTGGGCATGGGACCCTGGGGCTTCCCACATCATCCACACAGAGGTCAGGGTTTCTGGGGGCTTGTGACTCTGTCTCACTGAGGACCAGAAAGAAGGTCAAGGCCACTATGCCCTTTCCTGATTTGACAGCCTCAGGGGACCACTGCGGCAGGAAGCTACAAGACCAAGGCCCACGGGGACAATACCGAGGCCCTGTGGCGGGCTCTCCAGTCCCCGTCCTAGGTGGTATTCGCGGGCTGGCTAGATTGTCATCTGGAGAGGGTTCTTCAAGGATCGCAGCCCATTTCTGCCCACGACACCGCTGAGGAGGACCCTTAGCTCGGCACTGTGTCCCAGCACCCAAGCACTGGGCTTCTGGCCCTGGCCCAGCGTGCCGACCCGCCCGCAGCACCCGGCCTGCCGATCGCCCCAGAGCACACGGAGTGAAGTGTCTGAAATGGCTCAGATAAATGCATCGGACCAGCCCGGCAGGGCCCCTCACAGCCCTGGCCCCTCCTGGGACCCCAGTCCTCCACGTGTGGCGGCCAGGCCAGGCCCCGCACTCTGACACAAGGCAGGATGAGCCTGACTGGCGTCCCCTCCCTGGCAGACTGGGGTGGGGTGGGTCCCTGCAGAGTCCCCAGTGGGGACTCAAGAAGGCAAGGTGGCTCCCAATCCCAGGCACCACAGAGTGGGTGCGCCAGGGAGGGGTCTGTAGCCATGAGGTCCCCAGGGAGCAGGCTGTGTGGGGACGGGCCCCAGCCCTGCCAGGAGAGCCCTCGGGCTGCCTGGTGTGCAGGGCGGGTCTGGGCCATGCTGCTCAGGCCGTGGGCTCTGCCCTGGCTCAGGAGGCAGGAGCTGCCCAGCTGGTTGGCCCCGGTGAGGCTGGGGGAGCAATGTGAGTGGACACAGGGAAGCCGCTGTGCTCCTGTCAGTGAGCTGGACCACGCAGGGCCCAGGACAGCGTAGGCAGAGAGCCTGAGCCCAGAACCAGGATCCGTCCTGAAACCAGCCCTGCCCAGGAGTGCCAGTCCCTACTGGGCACAGTCCTCTGCCCAGGGCCCTGGGGGCTGTGAAGGAGGAGTTGCTCATCTCCCCCCTCGGGCAGCGTGCTCACAGACCCCTGGGTTTGGTGAAACACCAACACAACCCCTTAGGGAGACCCACGTCCCCAGCCAGCAGACTGACTTCACGTGTCTCCTGATGCCCGGCACCAAGCCCAGCGAAGGGCCCAACCTGAGGAAATATCAGGTGAGCTGCCCGGAGGCGATGGCTACGCGACAGAGGAGTGAAGACAGGCCGAGACTCGATTCCTGTTTAGACGATGCCACAGGACATGCAGGTGAGAGGTAAGTCATGGCCCTGAACAGATCTGGAGCCCAGATGTAAAGCAGCACAGAGGACATCACTGGACATTACTGAACAGATGGCAAAATCTGAGTGACCTCCATAAACCGCTCATGAAAACGTTCCAATTCTGACAATACACACTTACGCTACTTAGAAGCAAGGCAGTGCAAGGCCTACAATATCCTGGGCTAATACAGAAAAACATCCACATTGCGCACACGCATGTGCACACATACACACACACACACACACACAGTGACAGAGGGGCACTGTAGGGCAAGATGTTAACAACTGGTGAAGCTAGGTGCAGTGTGCAGTTCCTAATCGTGTCCCAATGCTCACTACAACAATTCCAAACGATTTCAGAGTGCTTAGCGCAAATGAGGGTGTGGGCGTGCACTTGCATGTGTGTATGTGTGCATGTGTGAACACATGGGCCTCGGTGTGTGAGTGTACGTGCATCTGTGTTCATGTGTACATCTGTTTTTCCCTAAGACTCCTCAATCCCACAAATAAGTCATCATTGCTACCCTGGTCAAGAGCATCAGTCACCCACCGCCCAGGAGCTGTTTCTTAGGATTCCCAGGGGCACAGGGGGCAGCCTCGGGGGCTGACAAGACGTGGCCACAGCTTAGGAAGTGTGCTGGACAGGCACCTTCTTTGAAAGTTGAACCAACATAAATAGAAGCTGATATTCTGGCCTGTTGAACTTCAATTCTTTCTTTTTCTTTTCCTGCTGTATTTTAGATACAGCTTTTGGGTTAAAATAAAAACAGATAACCTTACAAAGCATTTTTAAGCTGTGGTGGCCCAGGGCCAAGCCCACTGTTTCAGGGGAAAGTACCGGAACCCAGTGTTGGCAAGCAGCTCCTGTGGTTGTGGCTGCCCTGCAGAGAGCAGAGTGCCCACAGGACCGGGAGCACCAGCCCAGCCGGCTGGGTCTTCAGTGGAGAGCAGACGCCTGGCTCCGGTCCAGCTCAGGCAGCCAGAGGGCCTGCTGAAGTTATCAGATGGCAGAGTCCCTGCACTCGAGAGTAAAAATAGCTGGCTTTTCCCATGGCTTTCAATGGAACCATTTTCTGCCAACAGAATGGATTTCTCTGCTGTGCTCGAGCAGAAGCGTTCACGCCCGATGCACAATGAGAACACAACAGAGACAGGTAAAGGTCCCCGGCAGAAGTGAGGAGGCAAATGCTGTGACCCGGAAAACCAGGCCCCCAGCAAGCAGTGTCCATGCACGTGAAGCGTCCCACCACACACGCAGGCACGTGTGCATTGATGTATGTGTGGAGACAGGAAATCAGATCACACACTTCCCTCCCAGAGACTGAGACCCGCCGAGGACCATCTCAACACCCAGTGGACCTGCTGCACGTGCGCTCCGGGCAGCAGGAGGAGGAGGAGGCCACCAGTGTCTGAACTCTGCTCCTCCTGAGCCCACCTACTGTGCAGGCTCCATGAGGGCAGCCCCGCTTTTTTAGGGTGCGAGTGCCAGGCTGCCTCCACGTGCCCTTCTCCACCTGCCCCGAGGCTGGGCTTCGCCCAGGGGCACTTGTGTTCAGACACTCACCAGGCTCTACAGGGAGACCAGCCAGGCCTGAGGAACACTGTGCCTGCGCCCCTCCCAGTGCAGTCACTGTGGACACGGGGCCCACGGATCACATGGCCACCGTGAGGGGTGGGGCGAGGCAGGGCGGGGGGTGGAGTGGGGTACGCCCTGTGCACATTTCCCAGCGCCAGGCAGGGACCATCACTGGCGTGCTGCAGTCTGCGTCTGCACAGACGACCTCCAGCTGTTATTTCACCCTGTGCCCTGCTCCTAAGGTCTGCCGGGAGATTGTGCTGCACGGCAGCAGCCGCCTGATCTCATGTGGCCATGTCTCCTGATGGCACCGAGGCCAGGAGGAGCGGCTGCCCAGACCTGCTGCGTGTGCACAGCCCTCGGGGTGTGTGAGGCGAGAGCTCCTAGGGAGCATCTCAGGACGTGTGGCCAGTGGGCTGGGTGCAGAGGCCACAGCTACCCCACCCGTGCCCATGCCCCCCACACTGTCGGGCTGCCCTTGGCCGACACTGGAAACACAGGAGTGGGACGGGCAGCGTGGGCCCCCCACGCACCTTCGCAGCAGTCCTGCCACAGCCGCAGGTCCACGCGGGGGATGTCCTCGCAGCTGCCATAGCCATGTGGGAACTCAGCCACCCTGAACACGTCCCCTGGCACACGGGTGATGTTGTCTGAGTTGTCGCAGAGGATCCTGGCCAGGGACGTCTGCTTGAGCTGCGTCAGCTGGGCGGGGGAGAACACCCCGGGGTTTTCATACCACAACCTGCATGGGCAGAGACGGCGAGGTCAGAAGCAGGAAGGGACGCCCCGGGACCCAGGAGTGGGCTGGGCTGTCTCTCCAGCAGCAGGGAGCTGGCCAAGAGCAGCAGCTGCCAAGGGGTCAGCACTGCTCACGCTTCTCCCCAAACAAAGCGGATGCAGAACCCCGAACACAGGAGGCCACCTGCCAGCTGCCCGGGCAGCAACACGGGGGACAGGCCACTTACAAAACAATGATATCTGCAAGCCGTCTGCAGAGTTACTAAGGAATAGGGAGGGTGGGCCGCCTCCCAGGCATCCAAGTACCCTAACGACGCCAGCCTAAGACGCAGAGAGGGCCAGCCAGAAGCTCAGCGGCTCTGAGGTCCACAGGGGAAGAACTGCATGGGTGGACCCACAGGCTTCCAGGAGCTGAATCCTGCCCCTCAGGCTGGGGACTCAGGGCACCTGGCCAGGTGTGGCTAGCCTAAGGAGGTGGGGCCATGCCCCTGGCGGGCAGGGAGGTCCTCATAGGTCCACCAGGGTGTAGCTTTTCCTTCTCAGCCAGGACGGGTCTCGGTGTCTCTGGTTGTCACGGCAGGCTCTGCAGGGCATCCGGGCTCACCTGTCCCCATCCCGCAGGCGCCGGAACTGTGTGCTGAGCAGGCACATCAGAGTGGGCCCCAGGCGGCTGCCAGGAACCAGGTCCTCCACCATGAGGGCCGGGAACAGGTCGATGTTGAGGGTGGAGCCGTACAGTCTGCAACAAAGAGGCAGGTCCCTTACCTCACAGGGCTGCACGCGGCAGAAAACACAGCAAATGCAAACGTCCTCATTTTTCCTTTCACTACTTTACATTATTCATAACTACACTTCACAAACAAATTCACCTTTATTTCTTTGAAACATATATCCATTATACTTCGAAGACTTTTTTCCTACTTTCTATTTTGTGGGTGTAAAATGTACATGCCCCAACTTATCTATCAAAGATTTGAAAAAGCCAAGAAAGCAGATTAAACCACACACCCCGCTGCTCTGCAGGGAAAACCCACCATCCACTATGCCTGCCGGGCCTCTGTCCATGGACGTATGGACAAGGACCAGTATGTAGCCACAGCCACAGCTTTAATAGAATGGAACTGCATTCTACCATACATTGGAAATATATCTGCCATAATGAAATGTTTTCTAACAAAGATGCCAAAGGACTAGGAGGAAGCTTAAATGTCAGATGACGAACTTCTTTACCAAATTCTTCCAATTCCTCAGAAATACTGGCTTACAAACACACACTGATGATTTCTACCGGTCGTTCACGTCCCAGAGTTTCACGGTTTTCAAAGGCTGTGCTGGTCAACAGGTACCATGGTCCCAGGCTCACTGGAGTCCTAAAGGTCTGGGATCCCACGGCCACTCCCCACAGAGCACACAGGAGGCACACGTAGCCAGGGCCTCTGCCTCTGATCAGCAGGCACCGCAGTGGGCTCCTCCATGGGCACAAGCACGGCTCTGCTCCAGCCCCAGCTCCCAGGGGCCTGCAGGACACAGCTGCGCTCTCTGTTCCATGTCCAGCACCTCAGTGGGAAGCTGCTTCTCAGAGGAACCTGGAGGCTGACTGGTCTGTGCCGGACAGGGCACCCATTGGACTGCAGGGGCCAGCCGCCTGCAGACTTCCCCAGAGGACTTGCTCCTTCCTGCTCTGTCTTCTTCCCATCCCCTCCATGCCCAGGGACTTCCCATTGGCTGCCCCGAGTGCTCAGGGGTGTGCCAAGCCTGACAGCTTCCTGTGCCCAGGTGAAGGCCTACCATATCCCCACGACCGCTGCTGCTCAGAGATGGCACTTGGTGGGGACTCCTGGCAAGTGGAGGGGCTACAGGAAAGCCAGATCCACCTGCCTGAGTTGCTCAGCACAGCCTCAGTTCTGGAACATTCTAGGGTAATTGGCCCTTCAGTCCAGCCACACCCTGGCTAGAAGCACAACTGGGTCAACTAACTGGGAGCTTGTCCTGGCTCAGCCAAGCTCACCTCCTGAGCAGGCCGGGCAGGTGGGCAGCGAAGACCTGGCTGGGCTCTGCCCTCGCGCCCCCGACACTTGGTGGCCAATGGCGCTCTCCTCTCATCCCCGGGCGGTGCCACACACACACAGCAGCGGCACAGCCCGTGGCCAGTCACACGGGTGCCCACACAGGAGCCAGGGCAAGCAGCTTCCCAGGACTCACCTTCGCAGCTTCTCGCGGATCTCAGGGTTCTTGATCTCGTTCTTCAGGTCCTCAAAGGTGTGGGCGGCGGACAGGTTGCAGTAGACCCTGTAGTCATGGTAGGGCGGGATGCCGTGGTCCCGGCCCCGCTGGATGTTGATGGCAGCCAGGTCGAGGGCCACTGTGTGCGCCATAGAGAAGAGCCGCTCTGTGAGCTCCGTGTTCAGCAGCTGAGAGGGCACACGCATCTTCCCTGCCACCCCGAAGAGACCCCTGAGCAGTGGATCGATGCCCCCCTCGTTCACGATCCGGAAGGGTGAGAAGAAGGCTTTGTGGAGGGGGATGTGGCCCTGCGCGATGGGCTGCAAGTTCTCGTCCAGCCTCTGGAGCACAGGATTGATGAGCGTGTGGCCAAACCTGAAGGCTGCGGTGGCGAAAGCGTTGAAGATACCAGCGTTGACGTTGGGGTCGTAGCCCCGGTACTCGCCCAGCATCTTCATGCCCACCTCCCCCAGGACTTTGGGCAGCCAGTGCTGGTAGGTGATGTGCTGGATCTCTGCCCCCACGATCTTGCGGGTCTCATGGTAGATGGTGTCCCCGTCCCAGTGCGGGTTCAGCTTCAGCAACTCTGTGGCGATGCGGTTGTGCTCACGGAACCACAGCGTGTGCATGCTGGTCAGGCCCAGCTGCTCGTTGGCCCGGTGGTCCCCAGCCAGGAAGCAGGGGATAGGGCTCTCATTCTCATCCCTCATGCACTCGGTGGGGGGTCCGGTGGCGAAGGGCAGCAGGGGCTTCCCGGAGCGCTGCACGATGCCCTGCCGCAGCAGGCCGCGGTGGCTGGCCAGGTCCCGGATGCTGCGGGCCTCGTGGTCTGAGCTGCCGTACACATTGGACGCGTCGATGTAGGAGGTGAGCTGGTTGATCTGCTCCCGTGGGTACACGGAGTTCATGAGCAGGGACGTCATGCCGCTGCCGCACACGGGGCTGGAGCGCACAAAGAACATGCAGCGGGCACCGCTGCGCACGCGGGGGTCATTGGGTGGGATCATGACGGAGAAGCAGGGGGGGTCGTTGCTGCACACAGAGCTGCAGTGCTGCCCGTCGGAGAAGCGGGCCTGGCTCAGGGCCACCACCGTGGAGTCCAGGTCGTGGTCCAGGAACTGGCCCCACTGCATCAGCATGTGCGTGAACTGCTCGTCTGCCGTGACGGCCTCCGTGCCGATCAGCGTGGTGGACACCAGGCGGGGCATGGGCAGCACGTGCCCGTTGTAGAGCCGCTGGGGGTTGACGCCGCGGGGCGTGTTGAAGCCGTTCTCGTACACGGCTGTCAGCAGGCGCTCGAAGGCCGTGAGCGAGGCGCCCCACATGGGGTGCTGCAGGTTGTTGCAGGTGCCGTCGTGGGTCCGGTACTTCTGGTGGAAGCACATGTCGGAGCAGTTGTTCACTCGCCGGTGGGCGGTGCAGCCTGACAAGTTGGCGATGAGGCTCAGGTACTGCGGGGACACCAGGTCATTGTAGTGGTAACCTGCAACACAGGCAGTGCTTACCTCCTGAGGGTGCGTGGGCCTCTCTAGCTTTGGGGTAGAACTCCGCCCAATGCCCCTGCTGTTCCTGGTCATGAAGCCCTCACGGGCCTTGGGCCTCCATGCCAGCTCCACTGTGGTGACACTGACAGAGTGAGGCCACCTGCACCTTCCCATTTCCTCTCTTCTCCCATGTGGCCCAGCTTGCAGCTACTTGGGGAGAACAGGCAAGAAATACACCCCATGGCCACTGAACACCACTGCCTCCTGCTCACTGGCAGGGCCATTCCCCAGGCCCATCACTGCACAACCAAAGTCCCATCAGCTGCCACCAAACACCCCTAGGACACGCCCTCCTCACCACTGCTCTAGCACGGTCCCCCCAGAGGCAGATCCTCACGATGCTTGCCTCAATTCCGAGAGCCTCCTCTTGGCGAGCCCTGGCATAGATGGCCCTCCATCTGGTCTAGGCGCTGGCTCCAGAGGGTCACTGGGCCACTCAGAGACCTTCAGCCCACCTCCCAGTCCAGACTTGCCCACCAGGCAAGTGACCAGGTGACGGCTCTTCCTAAGCCAGGGCCCCAGTCTTCCCCTCAGACTTCTGCTCACTCAGAGCGCATGTTCCCAAACTGCCCAAACATTCACAAGGCCTTCCTCAACGCTCCTCTCCCTGGAGCGTGCCTGGGATCTGCCGGAAAGCCGGCACAAGCATGCTGACACCCTCACGTGTGAGCACACTGAACCACACATGTGAACTTTACATGTGCACACAGGCACAAACATCCCTCCACACTCGCACCATTGTGTGAGCACATTCGTGTGCACATCTATATACACACAGGCACACTCGGATACACGTGCTCACAGGCCTGCTCACACACTTACACATGCACATAACCAAATACTGACACAGACATGCTCTTGTTCCCACGGGCACACATCCAGACACTGCGCAGAATACACACTCTTGCTCACATGCTCGCACACACATATTCTGACACACTGACACAGACATGCATTCTTTTTATTTTGAACCTTGGACTCAACCCAGTGGCACTTAACCATTGAGCCACATCCCCAGCCCTTTTTACTTTTAATATGTTTTTAGTTGTCAATGGACCTTTATTCTATTTATTTATTTTATGTGGGGCTGAGAACCAAACCCAGTGCCTCATGCCAGGCAAGCGCTCTGCCACTGAGCCACAACCCCAGCCCCAGCCCTTTTTGGTTTTTGAGTCAGGGTCTTGCTAAGTTGCTGAGGCTGGCCTTGAACTTGTGATCTTCCTGCATCAGCCTCCTGAGCTGCTGAGATGATAGGGTGGCCACTGGGTCTGAGAAGGCATGTACTCGTGCTTACACGTGGGCATGTGCACATATTCGGAGAGGGCACAGGATATACACTCTTGCTCACACACATGCAAGAGACACTGATACAGGCATGCACTCTTGCTTACACTGTGCACACATGCACATATCCAGACACATGGAGACAGGACCCACACACTTGCTGAGTACTGGGCCAAGACTCCACGTTTCCAGCTCTGCAGGCAGCGTACACACGGCCTTAGAGGAAACGAAACTGCTAGTGTCTGTAGGAAATGGCACCCAGAACACACAGCAGGTGGCGTGAAGGAACCTGGGGAGGCTTCCTAGACCGGGGAGGGGAGGAGCTCTCAGAAACCCCGGGAGAGCAGAGGGGATGCGGCCTGGCTGCCTACCTCCCTGCCCCTCCGCAGTGCACACCTCCCGCAGAGAAGAACCGAGTCTGGCTGCTTTCACAGCTACAGCCGGGGAGCCTAGAAAACCCTCAGTCTTGAACCTCAGAAGCACCAAAACCCAGAGAGCCAAGAAGGAAAGTCTTCCTTGCACACGTCTGTGCTGCAGCGTGGGCCTCGGGCCTTGCCTGGAGCATGCTCACCTTTTCCCTGGCACTGGCCACGGGCTGACGTCCTGGCAGCCCCAGCAGACAGCAGTAGAGATCCCCGCTTGGCTTCTCAGGGCTGGGCTCCCTGCGCCCCGGCCCCATGCCAGGCACCACAGCACGGAGGACAATCCCATTTCTCTGCTAGAAAACCTGGTGGCTCTGAGCCCCTTCCTGGCAGGCAACAGCCTCCCCACCCCTTCTCCCTGCACCGTCCCTCTGCTCCGGCCACACTGACTTGCCCACGTCCTGCCTCGCAGCCTGGGCACCTGCGGTTCCCTCATCCCAGGAGGCCTCTCCTCTTTGGGGTCCCCAATCAAGTACCATCTTCACTCTGGAATGGGCCTGCCCCCAGCAGGGCTGCCTGCCGCTGCTGGCTCCCCGGGGCTGGTCTCCTGGCTTGGCACCTGTGCTTATCAGGAGTGCTGGGCCTTCGGGGCGGAGGGTTTCCTTTCTTTCACGTTGCCACATCCCCAGGCCTGGAGATGGAGCCTGTGCCCCAGCCGGGGTGGGGGATGGACGGTGAGGACAGCTCCAGCTGCCACTCAGAGAAAAGGCCAGTGTGGTGGGGCTGTGGGGGTGCTGTGGATTTGTGCCTTCCCGGCCCTTTCCCTAACTAGCACGGAGACATACGAAACTGGCAGGGAGCTGAGCAAATCTGAACAGGGCAGATTTGCAGCTGGCATCCCCAGGGGATGATCCTGCAGGGCCACAGGGGCGTTCCAGGCTAGGGGTAAGAAAGGCAGCCAGCAGCACGCAGTGACGTCTGGCAGCTCTCTCCTTGTGCTCCCTGAGAACGACATGCCATGAACAGAGGAGCCACACCTGAGCCTGGGGGAGGGCTGGGGTGCCCAAGAACACACGGCCTCTGCCGCACCCACCCCCGAGCTGTGCCCAGCAAGCAGAGGTGCCCAGAAACCCTGGTGGAAGGAGACATGCAGCCTGCAGTCCCACGTGGAACACCAGGCTGTTCCGTCTTCCCAGGCCTCCAGTAGGGAGGCTGGATGCCCCAAGGACAGAGAGGCAGCGGCTGCCGTCCACACGTCACCAGGCAGTGCCTAGAAGCTTCCGCTCTGGGACAGGACAGGATGAGGACCGCCCGTCGTCACCCAGCTCCAGAGAGAAGTGCCGCAGACCTCACCCCACGCCTCTTTCCTCTCACACGGTCACGGGCAGCCATGTTAAGCCCTAAGTCACCTTTTGCCATGATCGTTTAAAAAGCCTAGGGAAAATGGCCTGGAAACGCAGAAACCCCAGGAAGCCGCTCTGACGCAGCGTGGGACGGCTGCTCCCCGTCCCTCCTTCTGTGTGCAGGTGAGCAACAGGGCAGGACCGAGGTCTGCGGGGACTGTCGGCGCCACCAACAGGACAGAACTCACACTCTGGTCCTGCACCAGGGCAATGGTGGGCAGGGCAGCGGGCAGTTCACACTCGGCACCCACCCCAGCCGCCGCCTGGGCTGGCTTTTCAGACGCTGGGAATCTGCAAACACCCACGCGTGGACACAGCACCCACGCGTGGACCCGCGATGACCACAGACTGCGCTCGAGCCTCCGCCCACGGGTCACCATGCTCACAGGGAGGCCCTGGTACAGACAGCATGGACAGGCCTTTACAGCCTGGTCATCAGGTTGTGCATACCACAGCCCCCGAGGCCCAAAGCAGAGCCCCAGCCCCGACAGTGCGTGCCAGTCGCCAGCCTGGGCTGGAGGTGCCGGAAGCCCCCAGGGCTCACGTGTGGTGTGGGGACGCTGGTCAGGGAGGGGACGTGGTACTGACTCGTTCCGTTCAGGTCGACCATCAGGCCATGCTGCACGTGCTCCTGGATGAGCTGCAGGGTCCGCTCGAAAATCTCTCCTGCTCGGGCTTGTCCCACGGTGTAGGGGTCCCTCGGGTACCGGAACAGGGCCAGCAGGTCATTGGGAGAACGAGGCCGGCTGACAGGAGTCGGGAGAGAGGGGCCATGAAACACGGTCTGGAGTCAAAACCCGCCAGAGTCCAAACGTGCTGGCGCTATTATGTATCTCTAGGGCTACTCTGGACAACAGGAGGCACCGTACCTGACTCATCCGAAGAGGAAGGCAAGAGAACAAGGACAGACAGACAAGAGCCAGAGACACTAAAAACAAACCATTAATAAGGCATCAGAGAAGGGCACAGGGCATTCCGACCGAGGTGCAGAGAGCAGCCGGCTCTGCCAGCACAGCAGGCGCGGGCTGCCTCCGAAGGGCTCGGCTAGGCCACCTCGTCCAGTGACACTGAGAGCCTCACGGAAGCCGTCTGGCTGCGCTTCAGCGTCCACCTTCTATTAGGAAAGGGCACGTCCCTGTGTCTCCCAACACCCCAGTCAGAGCCGTGCTGTTAGTGACGGTGGCACTCCAAGTTTCTCTGGGGACTGGACAGGGCAGAGCTCTGTGCGGGGCCGTGGGCTCTCCACCCGCACCCAGGGGACCCGAGGCCCGCCCCGCCCGCCCCGCCCCGTACCTGTCAAACAAGTGCGTCCGCGTGGAGTTGATGGCCCTGTCCACAGTTGCAATCGCTTCCACAATGGAGGTGGCGACAAATGGGTCCCCGTTTCGGCTGATGTCGGGAACTGGGGAGCACAGAGTCACAGGTTGCCAGGAAGCCACCACGTGACTCACCAGACCCCACACAGACGCCTAGTCACTGGGACGTCACCCCTTCCATCCCACCCAGAGCTCAAGCCCGGGGACGGCTGGCTCCACCAGAGACTGCCCCCCCAGGACAGCGGCAGCTGAGGACTCCACATCCCAGGGCACGAGGGGCGTGACCCCAAGAGCCTCAGGAGGCACCTGGAGGCCCCAGGGGCCAGCTCTGGGGCCTGCGGCCGAGCCCAGCCCCTCGCCTCCTTGAAGGCTGGCCTCCACCGCCCACGCCTCAGCCACAGCCCTGCCATCAGCCACCTCCACGGGGTGCTTCCCTGCTCAGGCACCCAGCATGGCGCACAACCACACACCACACCACACCACACCACACCACACAACACCCTACCATGCCACCACACACCACTCCACACACCACACCACCACACACCGCACACATACTACACCACAACACACCACCACACCACACCACACCACACCACGCCATACCACACTACCACACACCACACCATACCACGCCACCACCCACCACACCATACCACACTACCACACAGCACACCATACCACGCCACCACACACCACACCATACCACGCCACCACACACCACTCCACACCACAACACACCACACCACACACATACTACACCACCACACACCACCACACACCACACCACACACATACTACACCACCACACACCACCACACACCACACACCACTCCACACAACACCACCACGCCACCACACACCACACAACACCCTACCACACTACCACACATCACACCACAGCACCACACACCACACCACACGGCACACACAAGAACAATGTACACACACCACATAACACACACATACCACACTACATGGCACATGCAGCACAGTGTACACATCACACCACCACACACCGCACCACATGGCACATGCAGCACACAGCACACACTACAACACATGGCACATGCAGCAGTGTACACATACCACACAGCACACACCACAGTGCACACATACAACACACCACAGACACCAGTGTACACACAGCTGTGTACAAATGCCACACACAGCACACCATACACAAACACCACACCACACACAGCACAGTGTACACACACTAACACAACACACCACACAGAGCACACCTTATACACACAGCACACACACACCATACTCCACAAAGCACACTATACACACCACACTACGCACCACACACAGCACAACCACACACGCACTTAGCCCTCTACTCAGCTGCTGTGAGCGGAGCTGGCCAGGACCGGACCTGGTTCCCGCCAGGCTGCCTCAGTGGCGGGTGGCTGCAGCTGCGTCCCACTGGGGGCGGGCAGGCCCGAGGGCCAGGCCGCCCGACCCACGTCTCTCTGCAGACTTGCTCTTGGCTGGGAAGACCCAGTGCAGAGACCCGGGGTCCTCCGCCAGCTGCCAGCGCACTCCTCCGACCCCTCCTCCTCCTCCTCCTCCTCCTCCTCCTCGGGCGCAGCGCCTGCCCTCATCTCTGCGGGAGCACGGCCTCCTCGAGCAGGCTTGGGTCTCTGGTGCCAGCTTTTCCCTGGTCACTCGGGTGTCTTTTCACCAGTTGTCCTCCCTGCCTCACTGGCTGCTGGCTCACCCCGAGGTGCAGGGCCAGTCCCAGGTGACCTCACCGTCCCAGGACCTAACTTCTCCTTCATCTCTCCCTGGGGCTCCAGAGCCGTCCATCCAAAGGGCCTGCTGCAGGCCATGGCTCACCGTCCAAATGGCCCCTGACCCTCCTCTTCCCAAACTGGCCTCCTTTACTGAAAATGGCACCAAAGGGCTCTGGCTGGCCCTGCAGTGGCTCTGGGCAGCATCCCAGGACCTGGCCGCGCATCTCCATGCTACCAGCACCTGTGAGGTGAGGCTGTCGTGGGACTCGGGACCGTACTCCTGCGCCGGTGGACAAGCCTTGCCCACGGCGCAGTGGCCCCTGAGAGGAGGACGCTCACAGCTCTATCCCATGGGCATGTCCCAGTGGCTTCCCACATGCCCAGAGTGGAGGCCACACTGCAGCAGGCTGGGCAATGAGGCCCAGGGACTGGCCCTGCTCAGAGCCTCCCATGTCCCAGCCTCCGTTCACGGTGACTGGCACCTGCTGCTGCTGCCCTCGCAACTGGGCAAAACTGACCCCCTCATCCACCCCGAGCAGAGCAGCGCAGGCACCAGGCAAGTGAGCAGCTGTGCTCACATCCCAGAAGCCCGTGAGTCTGGGATTCAAGTGGCTCAGGAGAACCCGCCTGGCCCAGCCTCGTCAGGGGCACACCTGAACAGGCCACACCCACCCCTGTCTGCAGCCGATATCTTCAAGCTAAAAATTAAGTCATTTTAACTGTGTTCCAAGCTCTGTGTGGAGGGGACACACTGTCCCCATCTGTTCTCAGGAAGACCAGCCACTACATGGACGCAGAAGGCAAAGCTGGGGCCTACCGGAGGCCAGGAGGTGGACTGTCAGTGCCCAAGACCTCAGGGGCGGGCGAGAGCCTCTTATCCAGGGGCCCTGAGCATTTTGAGCAGGCTGGCGGGCGGCAGGCGCATACCCAGAGGCAAGCCCTTGCAGCCCAGGGGCCCAGCAGCAGTGCAGGGTCAGGGGCTGTGGGAGGCAGGTCGGGTGAGAGGCCTGCAAAGCTGCCTGTGGAGCTGTGCCTGTAACCATGGGACTCACGAAATCCCTCGAGGAAGGGCTGTCAGGGACCAGGACACATGAGGGTGGGTGTGAGCAGGGCAGTGCCTGCAGATGAGGTGGAATCCATATTCCAGGCCACTGACCAGATCAAGGGAGAGGACTGTCCAGGCACATGGTGAGGGAAGCACAGGACGTGCCCGCACATGTGCAGCTAACCCCAGAGACGCCCTGCACGAGCACAGGGCCCTCCACAGAGATGCCCCTGCCAATGGAGCTTGTGACCACCTTGCAGAGGGTCGAGACAACAGGGGTGCTACCAGAGGTGCTCGAAAAGAAGGCCCAGCCACACCCTGACAGCTGTCAGGGCTGTGGAGTAAGGACGGCCGTCCCCTGGATCATTCCCCGTGCCATTCACCTGGGGGACAGGGCTGGCCTGTGCACTGTGCTTCTGGCTGGCAGAGCAGGACACACCCCAAGCTCCCGGGCACCCCGTACCGTTCACACTGAGCACCATGCCCACCGAGGCGTATCCAATCGTGTTCCGGGCCACACATTCATAGCGACCCACATCTGCGGTTCCAACGTCATTGATGGTCAAAAATCCTTCAGGGCTGATGTGAAACTTCCCACTTTCTGTTACCTGAACCCCATCCTGGAGCAAAACAATAAAAACAGTCTCAGCAACAAAGCTGAGAAATCAGGGGATTTTCCTGAGAGCGGGGAGGGGCGGCCGGGACTGCGGGACAGCGTCCCAGGCTGTGCGCAGAGGGGCCCAGGGGAACTCTCCAGGACTCTCACACACCTCTTGCAGGGGCAGAGCCTGGTACCAGAGAGGCTTCACCACAAGCGCAGGGACACTCGGGTAACTCCCCTAGGCTACAAGCTACGGTGGCAGGGCCCGGATAGAGGGGCACCTGGGACTGTCCCTGAGTGAAGGGTGTTTGGGACCCAGGACAACTTGGAGACAGAAAAGACAAGTCACACGTCAGGTCCAGGTGTGCGTGGAGAAGGCCACAGGCTGAAGGAGCTGGAGGGGGCCAGGACATCATTGGCCTGAGAACTGTGCCCTAAGGGGAGCCTGGCATGGCCACCTGTCGCCCAGGGAGCACTTCCTGTCCACACTGAGTTCAATTAGCATTTTTGTATTGGATTGAGTAGTGACAGCAAATCAAAAATCAATTGATCAATCAAATAATGAGCACTGTCTGTATTGTCCATGAGGCTGCAGACCTACAGAGGGGCTTGGAGGGAGAGGGAGGACCTGCCACATGCACCTGCTCCTACTAGGAAGGGTATCCCTGAGAAGCCTGCGACACAAGCCTTTTTCTGCTGCAGGAAGTCTGTAGAAGGGTGGCAGCCTGCACCCTTCCGCCCACAGAGGAGCCAGGTGGGGTGGCTTCAGCTCCTACCTTGTTCCAGGTGATGGCCGGCTGTGGCTCGCCCTGGGAGCTGCATGGGAGCTGCACATTGGTGCCCACCTCCACCGTCAAGTCGCTGGGAACGCTGGTGAACACTGGGGTGACTAGAAGGAAGCACGGACGGCAGAAACCCCACCTCAGTCACGCCGACCCAGAGGCTATGGGTGACAAACCTCCCGGCCTCCCAGTGGCAACCAGGAAGAGCAAGGGGGCCAGAGGGACAAGAGGTGGTCTGCCCCCACCCTCCATCTCGCTGCTTCTACCCTGGGCCCCAAGAGCAGCAGCACAGGTGGACAGCAACTTGGTCCTCTGCAATAGTCCCCAGGACTCCCCATGCCCAGGTGCCCAGAGTGCCCTGACCCACACCATGGGCAGGACAGACTGCTGGGCTGCACGTTCCACTGGGCCATCGGCTTAGAGAGCCTCTGCTCGCAGGCGGGAGAGCCATTCGAGAAGGGAGGGGCCACCAGCGGTGGGCTGGACGCCTCTCAGAACCCCACTGCCTGCACTCTCGCTGAGCAGGACAGGTCCTGACAAATCAGGGACTTGAAGGGCAGATCCATAAAGCCCAGAGCCCACCCAGAGGGTTGATAAGGGACGAGGCCCCCAGAGGCCCCCAGGATGCTCTCCTGGTCTTGATTTGATCTTCTCAGGGCAGCCAAGGGCCCTGAACATACCCTTTGCCCTCTGCCCCATCTCTGCGCATGGCAGGTGTAGCCTGAGAGGCCCGGTCCTCCTCAGCTCAGGGGCCTTTGTGCTGGAGACACTCCCTGACCTTTCCATGCTGGTCTACCAGGAGGGAGCGGGCAGCTGGGCCTCCTCTATCTAGAGGAGCAGGAAGTGAGACTTCCAGGAGGCCCAGGGAAGACAGGAGCCCAAGGGCAAAGGAGAGAGGAGACAGTGTGCCTGGGGACGGCCCGGGGTCTGCAGAGCCAGACAGTCCTCAGCCCCACCAGGCAAGGGCAGCTGGGGGTCCTTCCCCAGAGTCCCCGGTGAACCAAAGGGAAGCAATGGGCTTCCCATCAGCAGGTCACTTAACCACGCTCAGTGCAAGCACCACTAAGACAGAGCGAAAGAGCCCGGGTGGGCTGCTACGGAAACACCCTGGGAACACGCTGGTGGGGAATCAAACACGAGGGGGCGGGGCGGTGGCAGCAGAGTGGGCTGCAGAGATCCCAATGCCGGGTCCAACCCCTCACCCCGCCCGCAGCGCCTACCTCGGGGCTGCACGGTCAGGTGCACCACCACCTTCTGGGAGCCGATGATGTTGACGGCCTGGCACTCATACTGGCCCTGGTCGTGCAGCGCCACCCCCGAGATCCTCAGTGTGCCTGAGGACAGCACCAGGTGCCGCCTGTCCACAGAGAGCTGGCTGCCTGCAAGGGGGAGCGTCAGTCACACGGCAGGGGCTGGGTGAGGCAGGAGGCGGGCCGCGGGGCATCAGGACTTTCTCTCTGGAAATGGCAGCCTTGCAGGAGCTGGGCTTCACCTGGGCCAGGAGGAGGCTGGTCCCAGCTGGGGGTGAGCAAGTCACCCTCCACCCAGCTGACGCCCTCAAGTGCCCAGGTGGGAGGCCACGCACACTGTGGGATCAGCTCAGGGAGGGATCAAACACAGTCCTGCACCTGGCCACTCCCAGCAAAGGGGCTAAGAAGAACCCACAATGGGGGAGAATAGGGGGTCAGGACTGCGTGGTGACTCTCAGGGGCTGGAGGGATTGACCCTAACTGTGTCTGAGAAGAGAGAACAGGAAAGGAGCTGGGGGCTGGAGCACTCAGAAGCCCGGGCTCCCCCAAGCAGGGGCCTGGCACATTCCTTTGTGGAGAAGCCTCTCCAGAGCCCACAGGGTAGCTGCCTGAGGACAGGAATGTGTCTGTCCTTCAGTAGCCCTGAACTGGGTCCCTTGGTGGGACAAGTGGACATGGTAGCCCTCTGTTCAAGCCAGGGTGGCTGGGACGGTGTCTGGAAGGACGCCCCTGGGCTGAGGACAGAAGGCTGGCAGTCTGGGGCAGATGTTTCCCCAGCAGCCTGGGTGCCTGCACGCCCCCAGCCCCATCCTGCTGGGCTGTGCCTCTCCCAAATGTGGCTGGGGGGACCCAAGAGTCACACTGTTGGCAGCCAGACACCAAGTGGACAGAGGGCATCCGGCACTCTGGGTGTCAGAGTGAGCATGAGGCCGGGTGCTTTGGCATGTGCCATGAGGGACCCAGAGAGCTGCATCCCTCATGCTATGAGATGGGAGGCTTCTGACTAAAGGCAAGATGTATAGATCCAAGAGGCAAGCGCCCCAAGTCCCTTTAGCAAGGACAAAGCCTCGTGGCCTTCTGGCCACCTGTGCTGTGGACCCGTGGGGCATGGCTTCTGCTCGCCCTGTCTGGGAGATGCCAGGTTTGCAAGAGCTGGTTTCTCATGTCCTGAAGCTGTGGGCCCCGCAGGCCCGGGCTGGTGTTTTACCTCCCTTGGTCCAAGCGATGACTGGCTGCGGGTTGCCTGTCGCCTCACACTGGAAATCAACCGTTTGACCCTCAATGACCACTCTGTCCTCAGGAGTCACAGTGAACTGCGGAAGAGCTTCAGAAGGAAGAACATTTAAATGGGCAATGAAGGAGCGCACCGGACAAAACCGCTGCACCAGGAAGTGCCCAGGGCTGCAACAGGACACACCGTGGTGCACTGTCCACCTGCAGGTGTGAAAGGGGGAGGCACTGGAGGAAGACCCAGGCAGCAAAGCAGAAGGAACCCAGAAAGAGGGGTGTGTCCTCAGCATCACAGAGAGGTCTGCACTACAGCTCTGTACACCAGCAGACGCAGCTACAATGTGTCCAGAGAGGGAGGACAGGGTAGCTCAGCCTTGAGACAGACCAGCAAAAAGACACTGGTTCCTTCATCTAAATTAGTGTTTGCAAATGTTAAAACCCCACCTGGTGCAGTTGGGTCAGTGGGAAGTTGTCACCGCTGCTGATGACAGCAAGCGACGGGCAGAGTGGAAGCCCATCTCACAGAAGGGCCAAGCTCAAGGAAGGAGAAGCCCACAACAATGGCCTTGGGCACAGGGAAGCAGAGTCTCGGCTTGTCGGGGGCAGGACCCAGCTGGAGGAAGAGGCGTGGGCAAGGGAACGAGTCGTCCACAGTCTGTTCTTGGGCATTGTTCAGGGCTTCCTGATGGACACCCCACTTGGCATCTCATCTGAAAGTTCTTACTCACTTTAGGATCAACTAAGTGGCTTGGAAACGTACTGCGATGACCTTAAAGCTGCCTACTCCCCAGGGTCCTGCGCTCAGATGCTGACCTCAGGGCAGGACTGAAAGCTGCCTGAAAGGTACAGGACTGATGGCCACCAGAGGACACAGGCATTCATGTCCCCCAGTGCTCAGGGCTGTCCACACCACAGCCCATAGGCAAAGCCCCGTGCTGAAGAAAACCAGCAATCGATGGTCATGGCGATCAGTCGAGTGGGTGAGTGAGTGCTGTCGGCAAAAACAAAGAGAGGAGCTGTGGTTGTGGCTCAGCGGCAGAGCGCTCACTTAGCACATGCGAGGCCCTGGGTTCAATCCTCAGCACCACATAAAAATAAATAAATAAATAAATGAAGGTATTGTGTTCAACTACAGCTAAAAAATAAATATTAAAAAAAGTATGTTGACACCCAATTCAAGTCAAATTGTGGTATATGTGTATTAAGAATTGTAATGCAAAAAAACCCCAAAAGGCATAAATTGGCATGAACATACTTTATATACAGAGATATGAAAAATTGTGCCCTATATGTGTAATAAGAATTGTGATGTTTTCCACTGCTGTCATGTAGTTAAAATTTTTTTAAAAATCTAAAAATAAATAAATAAAAGCTTAAAATTAAAAAAAAAAAATAACAAAGGGAGCCAGGGGACAAAGGCCGGGGCTTTTGGTGGAGCCACAGCAGGCGCAGGCAGCTTCCAGAGGGGCTGTGGGGACAGCGCTGAGGAGGCGGTCAGGCTGCAGAGCCAGTGGCCCTGACACGCACACGGTGCTCACCCTGGACGATGATGAAGGCGGTGGCGTGGATGCTGTCGATGCCGTTGGAGGCAAAGCAGGTGTACTCCCCGCTGTCTCCGGGGGCCACATTCTGTATGTACAGGCCACCAGAGGGTGTGATGTTCACCCGGGGGTCGGCGGGCAGGGCTGTGCGGTCCCCTCGGGTCCAGGAGATCCGCGGTGGGGGGTGGCCCGTGGCGCTGCACTCCAGCGTAACGCTCTCTCCCACCAGCACCTCCGTGTTCTGCGGCTGGATCACAAAAGCCGGTCGCGCTGTCACAAACAGAAAACCTCAGTTAATTTCTTCCAGTTTCACTGTTTTTTTTTTTTTTTCTTGATAGTTTCGGTTGAGGCTGTTCATCCATTCCAGTGATCTCAACCACATGGAACAGAATTTATGAGCTTACTTTCTTGCGATCGTTCTTTTTATCAAGAAATGTGCAGATAACGAGGATCCAGGGCATAGGTGGGAAGGGCACCTCTGCCCAGAGCAGCTGCAGCGCCAGGTGAGCACCTGCCCATCTCCTGGGTAGACTCCCGGCCCCCTGAGCTCACTCCAGCTGGCTCTACATGCACGGTGCCCATCCTGCTAAGCCAGTAGCTCCTACTGGCACAAAATACAGTCTCTAAATTATATTCAGACCTTATAAAATGTCAATTTCATCACAAAAAGAAAAATGAAAACTACATTGAGATAATATTTTTCAAATCTAAATCTATAAAAAATAAATGAATTCTACACATTTACTATGTGTTCTATGGGTGTGAATGGAAATAGAGCCCTCGCACACTGGTGGGCAGGGTAGGGACAGAACCGAGAGCCCACCTGGACAAATACAGCCATTCATGCCCAAACCCAAACTGTAAACTGTACGTACTCTTCCACGAAGAAATTAGCCCAGTAGGAATTTAACCCATAGAAACTTTCTAAAGCATGTAACAGGACATACATGTGTACAGATCTTTTGTCTGTGTTTCTTTGGGCCAACAACCTTTAGCCACATATCTGAGATCCAAAAATCTCCAAAGTCAATTATTTTTTCACTGTCTGTTTGTTTGCAAAACTTGGCTGTCCACAGAAGGCCACTTCCAGTCTTTGTTTACTCCACTTCCTGTGAACATTCAGTGTCCTGTAGGACACTAGTAATGGTTTCCAAGGGTGCTGTCCAAGACTCGACATTGGTAAACGGATTTGCTCTGTGTTACAGCAAGGAAGAGAGAACTCAGAAAGATATGTTTCACAGACTGAAAAGCACAAAGAAAACCAGGAGCACATGATTAAGACGGGTGATGACATTTTGGAGAAAAAGGTAGAAAGAGTAGCTTCAGCCTTCAGTAGTTCATGATACAGTAATTTTCAGAATCCTGCAAGACCACGGCTGCCTTTGCATTTGCCTTGGAGTGTCCTAGCATGTCCCTGGATTTGAGCTGACCACAGGCCGGAGGCCCCCTCATTAATCACCTAGGACCCAGTGCTTTGGGAGTCTCGAGCAACAACCCTGTGTCCACTGTGAGATTAATGCTTCCTACTTTACGGGGCTGGGGTGCAAGGAAAGGAGAAGCAGATGGTCAGGATGGCTCCTGTGCAATGCCCTCCACGTACCTGGAGACCCAAAGTACCTGAGGGTCACCTCCTGTGTCTTCACTTCTCCAGCTACATTTTTCGCCATGCACTGGTAGATGCCCTGGTCTGTCTCCTGCGTATTCTGGATCATCAGGGTCCCATCGTCCAGCAGGTTTAGGCGGGAGTCTGTCTTCATGCTCAGCTCATTACTGCAAACACAGAGATCTGATGCTCTCGAATGCTTGTGCACAGGCTGTGCCTCGCCCATCCCAGACACAGGCAGCCCCAGCACAGGGTCCCAGCAGCCCAGAGTGCAGGCAGCAGGGAGAGGTGCGGGAGGGCAAGACCTGACTGCAGGACGCCCGTTCCTTAGCTGCACTTCTGAGAAAGTGCCTCTCAGTGCACACAGGTGTTCGCACTACCCCACGTTCAACCCACCTCACCCTTCCAAAGTGGTTGTCATTCCTAGTGGGAAGAAGCAGCAAGATGGGGGAAATTCAGAAGAAAATTTTCCTTTGTTTTTGGCAAATTAAATAAAAAGAAATCACCAAAGGCGAGAGATACACCTATCTGTAGTCCCAAGACCAATGGGCGTGGGAGCACCCCGTGGCCCAGCACCTGGGAGGCAGAGGCGGGGGACTGACCCCATCACAAACAAGAACCAAAACCCCAGAAGCTGCTGCTCGGTCCCTTTTGGGGATTCGGTGGGCCCTTGTGCCTGCCCTGTTCCAGGGGCAAGGACCACTGCTACACCCAGGCTGTGGGGCCCAGGCCTCAGTCCTCACTGTGATCTCCTGCCACCCTGCACAGCAAGAAAGGCCAGCATGCATCGGCTCCTTGTCCAGCCCGGCCACCTTTAGCATCTGACCACTGTGTGAATCTGCCTGAGGCCTCTCTGTTTGGATGCACATGAAGAGGGGGCAGGGCAGGCTGCCGTCCCTTAGATGGCACGAGAACAGGCTGTTGCATTCAGCTGCAGAAAGCAGCAGATCTAGAGAGAAGTCTGTGCCACCAGGTCATCAGGATGGAGCAACCACTTCAAAAGTTCAAGCAACGCAGGCCTCAGCCTGGCCAACCTCTGCCTCGGCTCCCTAAGACACCGGCAAAGTGGGGACTGTGCCCCACCACGAGGGCAGAAGGAACTGAAAGCACTTCCCAGGCATCTGGGAAACGCACAGGCGAGCTCCCAAGAGGGAGGCTGGCTCCCGCGGCACAACCGCCTCTACCCGCCTGCTCACCATCTGCTGTGCCCGCCAGAGAACACCCAGGAAACCCGTCCCGGCCCAGGCTTTCACCTCGTCACCTGGGCCCAGGGGTGGCATGTACTGACGTGGCCCAGTCCCTTCCTAGACACTAGGTGAGCCACTGGCGGCAGGTAGACAGCAGAGGAGGCCCCCAGGGGAGGCTGCCCAGGGGAGGCAGGCGGGCACAGGTCACACCTCACAAGGTCGGCTCCCGCTCTGACACATTTGGAGCTGCTGCGATCGTATCTTTCAGCATTGAGTTTCTCATTTATAAAATATCACGATGAAGGTTCTGGACCAAGTTTATGCTTCTCTACCACTGAAATATAACAATGTCCTATTCTGGACTGTAAGTCTCATCATTGACCCCAGCCACCCGAGGCAACGAGGTTTCTGAGGAGTTGGACAGCGTCTCACACTTAGCCCAGGGCTGATGTGACCCTTCAGATAGGAGGACCAGAGCTCTGGACTTGGCACAAACCTCCAACAACTTCCCCTATTCTGAGCCGCCTTTCGACCAGGCCCTGACAGGTATCCAGTGTCACCTGGCCACTCTCACCTTCGCCTGTCAGTACGGCTTCACCCGAGATGGAGAATGTGCTCTGAGATCTGGCCCTGGCTGGAAGAAGGGCCACTGGGTGTTTTCTGAGCTGCCTGGCCCTGATGTGGCTCTGATCTGAGATAGCTCCGGGCTCCTTCCAGCCTGGACGTGGCCAGCAAGCTCATGGGGAGCCTGACCAATGGTAAGATGAGGCTCAAGGGCGCCTCTTGGTCCCCTGGCTCGCGCACCTGGGGATGCTCAGGACTTCCTCCTAAGGATTCCTTTTTCAAAACAGATGCTTAAAAGTGTTTCACGTCAACATGGACAAGGGACTTGCCCCCAGGTGCCCTCCAGTCACCTGGCCAGATGCCCCCAGTCCTTTGCCCACACACAACCCAATCCCTACCTCATTGCGGTCCTTTCTTCCCTTTCCTTACCTTCCCTCCCCCCTCCGCACAACATCCAGACCCAGCTGGGGACTAGGTGCTCCCCACACTCGGGCCCACCTCGGTCTGGCCTGCATGTAAGGGTCAGTTTCCAGGACCTCCCTTGGTTGTCCTGGAGCCATCCCCAGCTTATCAGCCCCTGGAAATGCTTTCGGAAGGAGAGGGAGTGCCCTGGGTCAAGAGGGCTGAACCCCAGTACCTGAGGAGCACAGCCCTCCTCCCACACTGGTGTTGCTGGAGACACTGCCCCAGGACACCCCTCAGGTCTGGCCACCAAGCCCAGGTCCAAAGCCTGCTAACGCAACGGTCAGACACCAGGAGGCCCTGCCCGAGGAAGAGGGTGGCCAGAGACCAACCAGCAGGACACGGCCCGGTTCCGGCCAGGCAGGGAGTGATGAGGGCCAGGTCTGTGGCTGGCCTCGGAGTGAGCCCAGGAAGGAGGCACCACTTCACACGGGCGCTGCGTCTCCCTTACGCCTTCCCCAGCTGGCAGAGGAAGATCAGGTGGTGTCTGGCAGGGTGGTGACCGTTGAGCCCCTGGACACAGCATGAGACTCAGAAGCACTGTGCTCCCAGCGTGAAGAGCGTTTCACCAACTCCCAACTCACTTGTTCCGAAGCCAGATGATCTCAGGCTTGGGGTTGCCTTCCGCCCGACAGGTGAAGTACACAGTGTTCCCGGGCACCACGTCCGCATCCTGCGGCTCTGACGTGATCCGAGGCCTCTCTGTGCCCGACAAAGAGGGAAAACCTTCTCAGTCTAAACCACAGAGTGGACAAATAAGAACGCAGGTGGAATCCCTACCATCAAGAGAAAACTCCCAAACGCGCAGCATGACCACAAACACTCCCTGCAGAGACAGCTCTGCCCGGAAGCTTCACAGCACCCTCCAGCTCCCAGGTGCCAGGATGTCAGAGGGCTGGCTTGGGAGTGGCCAGGAAAGCATCAGGGATGACCTTCACGTGGTGCGCGAGCGCCCTTTAGCTAGGGGAACGCCTGCGAGAGGGTGCTGCACGGACTCTGCTCCAGCAAACACGAGAGCAGCAGCTGCGGCTCCTTAGCTGGTGGCCCCGAGAGGATGGGCAAGGAGGGGCCTGCTGCGGCAGCTGTCCTACCCCACCCTGAGGAGGGCCGTCCCTCCCACCGCTTGGGAATGGCCAGGAGCCGCCCTCACGTCCCTGAGGCCAGAGGCTCCTAGCTCCATATCCATCAGCACCCAGCTGTCCAGGCACCGTGTCCCAGCAGCCGTCCCTCGTGGGCTCGAGCTGTGCATGCAGCTGCCAGCTCCACAGGCTCCTGTGAGGAACTGGGCTTGAGGAAGGGGCAGGCCTGTGTCCCCCTGCCTGGCCAGCCGTCAACTAACCCAGCCTTGAGGTTTCCTGCAAGCTGAGGGCACCACACAGGGAAGAGCAAGCATGCGCTGAGTGTGTGCCCTGCACGGCCCTCAGGCCTGCAGGGCGAGGCCGTCAGCACAGACTCCTGTGCAGCAGCCCAGGCCAGGAACACCACTCCTCTGCCTGCTGTCCACGTGTCTGCCTCCTCATGGTCCTCACTGCTGCAGCCGTGGGCTGGCCTCCAGCACCCTCCCCTGATGTAGTTCTTTCTAGAGCATAAACCTCGAACCTCATTTTCTAAATCCCCCTTGGCTCTCCACTGCTATTTAAAAACCCGTTACTATTTGTTTCATCGCTCAGGCTGCACAGCTCTGTAAATATCCTAAAACCCACTAAGCTGCACATTTCAACAAGGTGGCGTGTCCCATGTGTGCACAACACCTCAACAGAGCGGCTACAATAGCAATTAGCTGCTGGCAGGCAGGCCGCAGAGCCGTGGTGAGGCTCTCCCCAGTGCACCCTCAGCTCTGACACCCTGTGGAGGCTCCCAGCTGGCTCCCCAGAGCCTTCGAAATGGGATGGCTGGCAGGAAGGTGTGGGGCACCTCTGGGTTGAAGGCAGCAGCAGGACAGGCAGAGGACACCAGTCACAACTCAGGAGCCAGGCAGAGCTCTGCGGGTCCAGGAGATGCCAGGCCTGGTGCCCCCCCCACCCCCAGGTGAGTTCTGCCCCTGGGGTAGCTGCAGCCACGGGAGGGGTAGTGGCAGGGAGTTTGCTTATTTCTGCGAAGAAACCTGCAAAGGGGCTCAGCTGCTTCTTCAAGACACGGCAGGGCAGAGCCTCACGAAGCAGAGGCTTCGCCCACCTGGACCTGAGGCTTGGCAGACTGCGTGATGGTGGCTGCAGGCACAGGCTGACCAGCAGGTGCTGACCTGCTGGGTGACGCAGCCTGGTTGGGCGCAGAACCCACTCACCACAGTTCAGCTCCTCTGGGGTGATGGTCGCCACCGATCTTCCCTGGATGCGTCTGGGATATTCGCAGGTGGCCGCCGCCTGTGCGTTCCCAGACTGCGCATAAGCCTTCAGCAGATCTGCCAGCCACAGTATCTCACAGTCACAGTGAAGTGCGTTGGAGTCCAGTCGCCTGTGGGAAGAAGGGGCAGCCGGTGAGAACTAGAAGCCGTGGGACTCCTAGGCTCCGGGTCCTGACCCACAGCCTGCCAGGCAGTCCATTCTGCATACAACGGGAGGAGCCCCAAGCCCTCCCGTCCTGCCGGGTACACACATCCACCCAAGAAGACCCCCAAGGCCCTGAAGAGGGACAGGACTGCAGCTTTAAATTCCAAAGAAAGGGACACGGGGGTGGACAGGTCAGGAGCCCCTGGAGACTAGGCAGAGCTGTTCCACAGGTCAGTGATGTAAGCCATGCAGCTGTCCTTCCCCGAGCCTCCCGCCCCAGGCACCAGGGCGTTCCCTCCCTGGGGAGTGAGGCAGGGGCACCTCCTGCCTGGGCCCAGGCTGTCCCAGGAAGTGTCTGGTGGAAGCACCACGAGGCCTGCCCATGGTCTCAACAGGTGAACCAGCAGGACTTCTGTGGGCACTGTCCCCACCTGGGAGAAGGCCTGAGATGGGAGCAGGATCACGCCCAGGGCTGCTGTGAGGGTCTGCACTGGGAATCATCGCAAGCCCCCACTCGGGGCCTGGTGCCTGCAGGGAAGACCACACCCCACCTGCCTTCTCCAGGACGTGGGCTCAGATGTGCGCCAGCCCCAATCCCGGCACTCTCTGGCCAGCCTCTGCAGACAGGCCGCACCTTCGGGGTACCTGGTTCTCAGGTGAGAAGGCTGCCAGGTGGGCCCAGCACCCGCACTAGGCGGGGCTCAGCCCCGCCCGGGCGCCAACTCCCCAGTGCGCTCTGAGCTGCAGCACCAGGAGGACAGGGGATGAGGGGGAGGACAGGGGACGAGGGACGGAAGGCCGCAGGGCCCTGTGGAGACGGCTTCCTACTCACAATCTTTTCATGGACTCCAAGTGATTGAATGTCCCAGGAACCAAGTGTGTGATCCTGTTGTTATGTAAAAATCTGTTGAAAGAGAATGTGACAAACCCATTTTTAGGAAAACTTCTTAGAGATGTAGAAAAGAGGACAAGCAAATATACAAACTTCTAAGAATTCTTATTGATCCCACATTTATTTAATAGACATGGATTCCAGGATGCTTTGGAGTTCAGAAAAACAACCGGATCTTTTTCCTGTTCCATCACCATGCCCAGCAGAGAGAGATTCAGATCCCACCTTGGAAGCGTTAGGCCAGGAAGGCAGACCCACAGGGGCAGTGAGCAGGGCGAGCCCAGGGAGGACAGTGGAGGGTTAGAGAGAGCCCAAGAGGCCTTGCCCGGGGCCCAGGACCCCCTGCACTGAGGCAGAGGACACCGTCCAGCCTGCCTGGGAGACACCCCGAGGGCCTTAAAGGAAGAACAAAAGTCAACTCACAGCCTCTCGAGCTTGGGTAAGTGCTGAAAGGAGGCTGGGTCCAGAGTCTCTATTTGGTTAAAGTGCAGGTATCTGGAGTTCAGAAAAAGAAACAGTGTGATCAATTTAATGACTTTCAGACCTAGATTCTCTGTCAAAAATCTTTTTCTAAGTCATTTCACGTCTGTAAGTCAATAGACAACTCTGGATTTCCTGGGATCAATCAGGAGGCGTAAGCTCGGCTGAAGTCACGCAGATGCCGAGCGGTGGAAGCGGGTTTGGCTGCTGGCTGGGCCTCCCTGAGCCCACAGATGGACAAGCACAGACACGCAGTCCTGAGACACAGGAACCCCCTCTCCAACCTCCATGCACGGCAGGTCCCTGGATGCTGTGTCAGCACACTGAGATGGCACCAGAGGCCACAGGGGAAATGGCACCACGCCGAGTCCGAGGCCCCTTTCCTCCAGGGTCCCCCCAGTGCAAAGTACCTTCGTCCACACGTCTCCCCATTTAGGACATCTCCCTGCTTTCCGCAATTTGTGGATTTCTGGTGCAATTAATTGATTCTGCTGCATACCAGTTTCTCACTTTGGAAGTCAAATTGGTGGGATTTTTTTCTTCAAGTGAAACACCGTTGTGCTTCTCACACACCTCACGATGCTTCTAAGGTAGATCTCTGCCTGCACTGGCATGGAGACAGCCCCCAATCCCCACCCTCGGGGGCTAGAGGTCAAAATGAGCGGCAGGACCAACGCCTTGCCCTACCACAAATCCCAACCAAAGCCGGCCCACCCCAGGTGACCACTTTCCAACATCTCTGTCACCTCAACTCCTGCCCTGGTAGCTCCCCAGGTATAGCTGCTCAGGTCTCTGAAGGCCACCCAGGCTGGCCACTCCTGTGCAGGAGCTCAGTACTCCGTGGCCTCCTTGCCTCTCCTAGGGTAGGTCTGTGCCCACTGCCCTCCACACAAGACAAGGAAGGAGTGCCACAGGAAGAGGAAGGCCAGTGGATGTCACGGGATGGCATTTGCCCAAGTGGTCCCCAAGGAGATAGGACCAAACAAAAATCCTCAGTCCCCGTCATAGGGCGCTGCATCTGTACTGGGCAGCAGGGGTCCAGAGCATGGACCTGGGTGGGCCTGGGCTCCTGTGCCCAGCACGGACACCAGAGGAAGGGCTCTGCTAACTCCAGCGGGGGAGTCCTGAGCTACACAAGGGAGAGGGCCCACAGGATAAAGAAAGGGGCTGTGCCAGGCCCTGCAGGGTCCTCTCACCCTGACCCACAGGGTAGGCTCTCCAGTAGAGGGCAGGAGGACCCAGATGCCCTGCTTTAGAAGGCACCAACAGAAGGCTGCCATCAGGAGTTGGAACCCTGTATGGCTGGGGTTCTGGACAGCCATGGGCGCCTTCACCCCTCCCTGGACAGCCAAGGAAACAGGACAGGAAGTGACTCCCCATGAGCATGGAGGACACCCTGAGCTCAGACCCAAGCTCCTGACTCTGGCAGGCTTTTGATCCGTACCAACAGCTTCCCAAAGAACAGCTCAGAGACTCTCAAAGACCTTGTGGCCTCCCAGCCGTGCTCCGGGCTCGTGCTTCCCAGCTCCCAGTGGCTGGTGTGAATGCACATCTTCTAAGGTTGGGGCTGGAGTGGGCTCAGGGCACAGGGGTGGGGTTCCCAATCACAGAGTGCTGGCCCTCCCAGCCTCAGTCTGCATACCCGGTGGAGGCTGTGAGCCCAGCCGCTGTGGACAGGCAGGTCACCCTAATGCTGCCAGAGGCAGCTGCCCCTGGTCCTCCTGGATGCACTGAGACCAGCGTGGAGTGAAGCCCAAGTTCCTGCAGCAGGAACAGCTCCTCTCTTGCCTCGCTTCCCCCACCCTGGGCCCCTCCTTCCTCAAAGCTCACAGGCGCCCCACCCCCTGAGGCTGCCTCGCACCCCAGCACCCTCAGGCTTCCACAGCTGCCCCAACTACCATTACATCCCCACGGCATGAATACCTCGCTGCACACAGGGCTTGTTCCTTTGCAAAGGCCCTGGGTGCTTTCTCCACCTCCCCATGTGAGCACAGACTGCACGCACCTTACACAGGACTTCTGCACCCACATACTGGTGCCCCCTGTGTTAAGCCCAGGAGACCTGCTCTCACTTGAAGGAGGCTCTTGTTCAGACGCATGGACTCAGGTGCCCTGAGTGTGCTCCTGCAGCTCCAGGCTCCAGGGCGGCCTCCAGCTCTGCCTGCTGTGCCCAGTCACCCCGTGACAGGTGAAGGCAGACTCAGGGCTGGAGCAGAAGACCTCCCACTGCAGGGCAAGCCGCTGCCCTCCATCCCTGAGGGGCGTTAACTGCAGTGACTGCAGTCCCTGGAGGACTGGCAGGTTCACTTGACAGAAAGACATTGCTGGTTTTACCAGAACTTTCTACTCAGAAATCAACATGCTGACTTTATAGCAAAGTACAACTTCACATGTAGCCAAAGAAACAGCATTAAGTCACAGGCAACTCCACTAACTAATCCAGCAAGGAGAGGAAAGTTTGTCTTCTTCCACATCATGGCATCATGGTTGAAGAAGCTAACCCCACATGCACAGTCACAGAGAGGAAATAATGCAGCCAGGAGCAGAGGTGCCCAGCTGCAATCCTGCCACTCAGGAGGCTGAGGCAAGAGGATGCAAGTGTGAGGCCAGTCTCTGAGTGAGGCTCTGTCATAAAGAGGACTGGCCCCGCAGCTCAGGGGAAAGTGCCCGGTCTCCAAAAGGGAAATAATGTGCAGTGGGAACCACCAGGCCCCACGAGGCCCAGGACAATACCACTGGCTCTTGTATGCACATCTGTCTCTCCCTTGAAACATGAGCAGTTTTCACCATGAAACAGGGAATCCATCCCTCTTATTGTTCTTGGAACCATGAGTGTCCACTCTGGGTCTGGGGCACAGAAGCAGCCCAGCAAACCTCTGCTCTTGGGTGGGTGAAGGGTGGACCGGGTGGGAGGTGGCACAGACGGGGAATGGCCCCTCAGGCCCTCACAGCAACATGCACGGCCTCCGACACCTCGTGGAGCTAACATGCATCATGCAACCAGCTCCACAGCTCCTCCCATGGGGGCAAAGAGGCAGGTGTCATCCAGGACACGGAAGCACAGAGGAGAGGGCACTTACAGTTGCTCTAGAGAGGCAAGTCCCGTAAACGCTTGCCTGTCAATTGACTGGATCTCATTCTTGTACAAATAGCTGAAACAAGAAACATGGAGGAGTGTTAGCACAGGCGAGGGCACTCTGCAGATGGGTAAGAGAAACAGGGGCACGTGAAGCCAGGCCTACAGCCCTGGCTGCTTTGGAAGACAACACAGCAGGACACAACAGGCTCCGCCCTGCGAAGGGTCCTTTCTGCATCTCAAAAGGATCAAAAGCAGGGGGACCCACCGGGCGAACTCTGCCTCCCCCACTGCCCCAGGGAGCAGGGGCCGCACTCTGCTTCTAAGCCTGGAGGAAACGTGAGCGTCTCCCTGCACACACACAAGATGCCTGGGATGAGATCACACAGACAGGCTTCTGGAAGTCCTGAAGTCACATGGGCAGGGGTCACCAGGAAGCCCAGGGTGTCCTGAGCCGCTCACCACCTAGAACCCGCTTACTGAAGGAGCGGCGGGCCTCTCCGAGGAGCTCCGGGGCCAGCTGAGGCCTGCTCTGCGAGGCCTGGGAACCAAAGATGCAGTCCATATTTTTAAATGGTAAAATCTCCAAAGGAAGAATGAGTTGTGAGAAATGAAAATCACATGGAATCCATATTTCAGGGTCCACAGGAAAGTCTGCTGGAACCTGCCTGCACTCACCCTCTCACGCGGGTCTGAGTTCGTGCCATGTGGCTAAGACAGCCCGGAATGTGGCCTGCTGGTCCTGAGCCCATCTGAGGGGTGAAGGCTCTCAACACAGTCCCCCTGGTGTGCGTGTGGGCTTTGGGCCTGACCTGCCAGGGCTTCCTCACACCACAGCCCAGCAGCAGCAGATCTCTGGTGACCTGGGGGCGCTCTGCAGGAGTACGGCTCCCACCTCCGACATGGCTGCTACTGTGGCTTATGATAATCCACTGGGCTTTATCTCTGCCGCAGGTGGACTGAAGGTCCAGATCCCTCCACTCCCCTCAGCAGACACCTCCCTGCAAAGCCCTGCCCTGGTGGCGAGTCACCTAGCGATCCCCCTGCATGGACAGCACGTTCTGCCCCAGCACTTCTCATGCCACAGTTTCCGCAGGACAAAGTGCTTCACTGTATTCAACTGATGTCTGGTGCAGGACCTGGTTTACAGAACTGAAGGTGCTCTTGGGCTGCTGCAATCCATCCCAGTGGTCCTTGCCCTCCTCCCTCTGAGCAAATCCACTGAGGTGACCTCACAATAGTCTCGAGCCTTTGCACCTTGGCTGGACACCCGGGCCAGAGCCCAGCAGTGCCCGGCAGCCTGGAAAGGCAGGCAGCTTGTGGGGGCCTGACGCCAGTGCCACCTGTGTGAGAGGACGACCTTTCTGTGCCTGTGTTTCTTCTTCTATAAAGTGGACAGAATCACTGCATAAGTATGTGTGAAGCCCTTGGGTGTGGCCCTAACCTGTAATCCCAGCCATTTGGGAGGCTGAAGCAGGAGGATCCCAAATTCAAGGCCAACCTGGGCAAATTAGCAAGAGCTTGCCTCAAAATAAAAAAATACAAGAGGGCTGGAGGTACAGTTCAGTGGCAGAGCACCCTGGGTTCGATCCCTAGGACTGCAATATATAAGTACATGAAATTAAAACCCAAAAAAGTTTAAAAATAAAGACACTGAGGCAGAACTTCGTGGGAACAGCTGGTATTGATCTTCCAATAATGAATGATGATGCTCTTCTTCCTTATTGCAGTTGCCTCTTTGACCATGAGTTCTGACTACAACACTCTTCGCACTAGGAAATGCAAGTTAAGGAGGGTCCCCAGAAGTACTGGGGGTCCAGGACAGAAGGTCTACACAACTTCCAAAACTGTGCTGCCAAATACCCAAGGCCAGAGCAGCCAAAGAGCCTCAGGAGAGCTCCACACTGGAGCAGGAGGCGGTGGTCAAGCAGGCAGACTGACCAGATTTCCCAGGCACCTAGAGCAGCACCAGGACTTACGCACAGCCAGCCTGGGACCAGGGCCGCCTGCCAGCTCTGCCCTGTGAGGTGCCAGTTTCCAGCAAGACTGCCTCCGGAACGAGCAGCCCACCCCCTGATTGTGCCCCAGTAATCTGTGCCCACCACCTGGGGAGGGAGGGCAGACAGTTGGGCAGGAGCCCCCGAGTGAGCAAGGGATGGTGGGCCTGGGCAGGTGGAGCTGAAAGGGTTTGTGAAGAAATGGCCTCCCTCACCTCCCGGCAGGGAGGGTGTCTGCAGAGGATAAATTGCCCTTCAGTAGTTTAAAACCAAGAGCAAAACAGAACCACTTAACACACACACAGCCCGACACTGCCGTCAGCCGCCTGGACCTGCAGGGGACTGCAACTGCAGACCAGAGGCAGACCAGAGTCAGGGAGGACGCAGACCTCCCTCGCGTCCAGCGGCACACAGGGCTCCAACGTCCACACCGCACGGGAAATCAGCATTAAGGCAAAGGTGGTGGAGAAAACAGTCTACATATAACACTCTGAATGAGGAGAGCATTTTAATAAGCAGAGTTAGGGAGGGCTACGATTAGGAACCACTGAACATCGAAAATAAAGAGAGATTTCAAAACATACACCAACACCAAGAAGATGGCTTCGCTTTAACTATCAACATAAAAAAGACGTTTAGGTTGTTTTGTTCCAATAAATAATAAGTGATGTAAATCCTTCATTAAAAATGGCTCTCCTTGGAAAGTTATCTACATCCTAAAAAGAAAGAGTGATTTGATCAAAGCAAGCAGCATGTGCTTCTAATCTGGCTGGATCCAGGTGAAATCTAAGTCCAGTGCCGTCCATCTCCAACCTTTCTGGGTTTAAAATACGTATGTGGACAGTACCCAGCGGGCCCTCAAGGAGAAGCCATTTCTGAACTGCAAAACTGACTTCAACTAGCAGACACTTTTAATCAAAGTGAATTTTAAAAAGGTAAAATAGAATTTAAGTAGATTAGACTAAAATTTCAAATCAGCCAGGGGACAAGAGAAACAGCAGGAATCACTGGCGTTCCACGTGGATTAGTCATTTCCTTTGTCTGTCCCCACAGCTGGAGAAGCGCTGGAGATGGCCACTGAGCTTGCATATGCAGACGCCCTCAGTTGTGTGTCTGAGCCTGCTGCCGCCTCCGCCTCCAGACCTGGGGACCGGAGGCTGTGCCCACAAGCCCACAGCTGACCTCCCCTGAGCACAGCAGCTGGACACTGCAGAGCACAAAGGCTGGCTCCGCCCAGCAGTGAAGGCCCACTGGAAATGTCACCCACACGCCACTCACCTAGAGGCAAGGCTCCAGCTTGTGCCTGTGCAGAGCACACACACTCCTGCACCTCGGGGGTCTAAGCACAGACAGCCCACCCTGAGGGGTAAAGGACGGATGGTTAACTTACAGATATTTTAAATTTTCCAGGTCTTCAAACGCTCCGCTCGGGATCTTCTTGATCTGATTATTGTTGAGAAGCCTGTGAAAAACAGAGACCCTCCAGGTTATGCTGAGCAAAACCCTGCTTAGCCACGGGCAAGGCTGGGTCATGACTGCCCCTCAGACCTGCTGCCCAGTCAGTAACCGCGGATTCCACAGGACGGCCGTGGCCCCAGCTTGCGACCCACAGCCCCATACCCTGCTCCAGCAGCGTCCACATCCCTCCCTGAGCATTCACCTTCACGCACACTGGAGAAGGCCATCCTGCCTCCCGTGAAAGGCACATCTCCTGCCAACCTCTCTGCACCTGTCTCCAGCCAGGGCTGTAACCCACTTGGAACAACTGTGAGGCTTAGGAGGGTCCCACACAGTGTCACTGGAAGTAGAAGCTACGCCCGCTTCCACAGATGAGAAGTTGGTGGGCACAGCCACCACATGCCCTGCCCTCAGGGGACCTGGCTGGCTCCTCCCCACAGCCCTGCACCCAGGCCTAGCGCTCAGTCCTGGAGCCTAAGAGAGACCTGCGCATTCTAGAGAGACTGGTGTGCTGCCCCCACACTGCCCTCCAGGAGGTCCGAGCTCTGCAGCATAACTGTCTGCATGTCAAGCCCACCTACCTCCGTGCCAAGCTCAGCAGAGGTGCTGTCCTGCTCAACCCACAGCAGGGAAGCAAACCCACCCCATCCAGGAAGGAGCTGGGCACAAGGCCATGGGCGTGGAACATGCAAATTCCACCCCACTGTCCATCTCCAGCTGTCCCCATCATGCAGACTGGAGATGGCCTGCAGGTACCTGGTCAGGACCCTGCTTCTCCTACTGGACACCACCGAGCATTCTGACTTACAGTGTGTTCAAGTTCCTCAGCCGCCGGAAAGCCCCAGGTTGGATCTCTCTGATCCTGTTGAAGCGAAGGTCCCTGTGAAGACAGAGGAAATGCTGCGATCCCGAGAGAGCCCAGCCAGCAGCACTCCTGCTACTTCTGCAGTGCTGCAAGGTGCAGAAGGCGTTTACAGATTAGATCTGGGTCACTCCCGGCAGGTCGCCTCGTCGTCGCTGAGTAGAATTGCAGGCACCACCTATATGACCCCTGTTCAGCTCACGCCCCAGAACGTGGGCCTTCAGATAGTCTGAGGATAGCGTGCTCTGGGGGAGTGGCACACATTCAAGACAGGCATCGTGCCCACTGGTCAATGGGCAGACCTGAGAGGCCCCAGCACTTCCGTGGCTGGGGCTGGGCCACTCACCAGCTCACTGCCTATGGAGTCCCGCAGGTCATCCCCAAGCACAAAGCGGCCCAGTAGGTCCACCTACAAAGAGAGGCTGTCCCACCGACGGGTTTCTCCGTGGGTTTCCAAGTGGGAACTTCAAGTAAACGTGCACTGTTCAAAGTGCTGTCTGTGTTTTCAGGAGTGGGGCGAGGATCCAAACAGCCCGACTGAGAGCGGGACAGAGTGGATTCCAGGCTGGCCGGGCAGCAGGAAGGCTTTGAACCCTGAGTAGTTGACACAGCAGAGTGCGCGCGAGGCTCTGACCAGGCAAGAGCCAAAGCACTGGGCACAGCCAAGGTCCCAGGCTTGCTGCGGCAGTGGGTAAAGACCCACTGTGTTGTCTGGCTCAGGGCCTGGACCAGCCTGACCAAAACCATCAACTTGGGACGTACCCAATAGGGGTGGTCGTGGGGGACTGTGTCACCCCAAATTTGTGTTGGTGACCTGGCACGTCAGGTCTCCTCAGAGACGCATCCTCAGAGGGGGCCACTCTAACCCCTCTAATCTGGGGACCTGGCACAGGGAGACCACCAAGCGAGGAAGGCAGGGCACAGTCGGAACACAGGTGGTCACTAGCAGCCTGGGAGAGGCCTGGGCTACTGTGGAGGGGCCACAGTGGCTCTCAAGTTTGGATTCCGGCCCCAGCACTGTGAGGCTGCACTTTCTGGTTGAGCCACCCGATTGTGGGGTGGCCACGTCACCCTGTAAAAACACTGGGCGCTGGGTGACGTAGTGGACACTGCATATGGTGCTTCCCACAGGACACGTCCTACCTCCTGAAAGGCTTGTTGTCCTCTCAGGGACGATTTAATAACTGCCAGTGACTTGCAGAGCCAGTTCTTGTCTGTGGTTCAGTAAGACGTCTCTCGAACACTGATGTCGTCACGATTCACCGTGAGCCGAGCAGCAGCAAGAGGCACGTCCGGCCCAGCACTGCCCCTCGCTCGGGGGGGGGGGGGTGAGCACGCAATAGCTTCTGCTCCAGGGATAGGAAGGCGGAGGCCAGTTCCTGCCCACAGGTGACCTCGGCCGCACTCAAGTCTCCATCTCCAGCCCTCGCCTGGCGCTGCCTGACCCACACATGCCCCAGGACCAGCGCTCCTCGGCACTGCCACCACTGCTTCTAAACAAGTGGGCTTTCACTATCCCTGGAATCCAGACCCCCAACAGTCCACCTGGGGAGGTGTGAAGGAGAAAGGGACAAGAGGAGCTGGCGTCCCAGCAGGACCTCAAGGAGCGCCCGCTCCTCGGTCCACTGAACCGACTGTAAGGGAAGAGTTCCTCAGTCAGGGCGTTAGCACAGCACACACTGGCAGGGGGCGCTCTCTGGCCCCACAGTCAGGAGTGCAGAGTTCTGCTGCCTTGATCAGGTAAGAGGATGTCCTGGACACCCGCCCCATGGCCAACTTGCACGGACAAACGCCACAGCACACAGTTTCTGCTGGACAGAGCTGGCCTCTACGGAGGGGCGACCTCACAACTGGGCACAGCAGACCACTCCCCACATTACCAGCCTGACAGACAGGGTTAGGAAGACTGGGGTCAGGGTCCCTCGGCAGCACAGGGGATCTCAGCAGAGAAAGTGAGCCCACAGAACCAGGAAGTGCAGCAGCTGAAGGGGCACGCCACCGACCCACAGAGGGCGGCCTCGCAAGCGCAGGACATCCGAAGCCAGCCCGAGGAGAATGCTGGGTGTCCACCCTGACCCCTCCACTGGCCCACACCTGGATAGTGGACCTGGGAGGAGCTGTGGCGGCCACTGTGATGCCCTGGAGTGTGTGGGCCCAGCTGGCTGGCCATGCAGCCTAGGTGTTGACACATCACTTGGGGACTAGGGACCACATGGGGACCGTGACCCTCCAGAGCAAGGAAAAAGGCAGAAGGAAGAGGCCCTGTGGACCTGCAGGGCTGCACTTCTGCATGGGGGACTTGCAGAGTGAGGTCGGAGGGACTCGGGTTGAGCAGCCATGACCCCCCAGGGGTCCAGGTCAGCCCACAGCAGCAGCAGCTTCACCTGGGCTTGTCAGAAAAGTGCATTCTGGGCGGTGGCCCTTGGCAGGCAGCGGGGACTGCAGGGCAGAGCAGCAGTGTGTCCTTGAGCTCCACTCCTGACCTTCAGGGACGCTGGGAGCAGAGTCCAAGCACATGTCCCTCTGCTGTGTGCGTGCGTGTGGCAGATGCAGGACGTGCACACGGCATCCTCACCCCAGCGGCAGCACCAGTCTTCCCCGCACCCCGTCCAGTCCCCGTCCTGTCCTCAGCCCGCTCCTCACTGGCACTGAACACAGGGTAAGTCAACAAAATCAACTCCCATACCCAGGGCCTCCCTGTCCCAGGAGACGAGCCTCCACCCAAGGCTCGAGAACGTGCAGGGTCCTTGGCCTCCTTCCTCACACGCGCAGGCAGGTTAGCTGAGAGCAGAATATCATTTTTAAGATCATAACAAATATTTCCACAAAATATTCCCACTGAATGAACGCTGCCCTGAACTTCAGAGTTAGAGAGCACCTCCCAGGCCTCCTAGAATCTCCCAGCTCTCACTGCCTCCTCCCTCTCCCCCTCCCCTGGGCTGAGGGGCTGGGGCGCCACAGTGGGCACCTGCCTCTAATGCCCTGGCCACCTGGTCACTGCCCTCAGCACCCCTGCAGAGTCACATGTCCTGGCAAGCAACCCATGTCTGCAGCTTCCTTGGGGTGGCAAGAAGAGGAAATGGGAGTGGATTCCAGAAAGTTCCTGGAAAGCCATAAACGGAGTGATTTCCTAAAAATAACACGAAGAGCAAACCCCAGAAATGGCATCTGGGAAGCTCCTGCTGAGGCCAGGACTCAGCCCCACACGTTCCCTTTGACTGCACTGGACCTGAGTGGTGTCTGTCTTTCTGAAACGCAGGTCAGCCAATACCAGACGGGAGTCAGAGGGAAGGAGGCATGGGTGGCCCAGGTCTGCTTGAGAGGCGCTCAGGGACACACCCCTCCCCAGGAGTGTTCCCGAGGAAGCCATGCCTGGCGGCTCCTCCTGAGGGCCCACAGCCCCCAGGGCAGTCAGGAATTCAGCACTGCCTGCACCCACAGGACGGCGCGGGGCAGGGACTCTCCCAAAGCTCCTGGGAACTTTCTCTTCTGTGTCCCCAAGGTAACACCCTGGCAAAACGGGACAGGGCTTGTTGGGGCACAGCCCCAGTGGAGGGCCACAGGAAGGAGGAACGAAGGGACAGGCAAGACGAAGCCCTTTACACAGCCAGAAAGAGCGCAGTCAGGAAGCGTCTCCCGCAGCCCTCGGCTTGGAGCAAGCAGAACCGGACACTGCCCTGGGAGTCCACGTTAGCCCCAGCCCCCATGGAGCCCCCAAGTCCACCGCTGCTCCTTCTGACCATCAGGGAGCCTCTCCAGCGTGAAGAATGAGCAGGAAGAAGGAAGGGCCACTCTTCCAAGTCTCAGTGACCGTTGGGCTGACCTGAGTCTCTCATCAGTTTCCAAGGCCGGGAGCTTCGGCGTGGCTTTCTTTGGTTTGAATGTATCTATGATTCCAAAACCTTGATAGACCACAACCCACCCCCCACACAGCTGTCCAGACCTGTCTTGTTCAGTAGGAAGCACTGAAGGACAGGTTTATATCCAACATCAGGATTGTGCTTCATCTCAGAACCACAGGGTGACAAAAGTCCAGAACTAAAAGGGGACTCGGCCATGTTTCACTCAGTCAGCCCAGGGACTTGTGCCTTGGAATTCCCTTTCTCAGTCGGAGACGGAGGAGGACACTGGCAAAGCTCCATTGAACCACAGAAAGGTTACTGTGAAGATAAGAGATGGTCTTTAAAGACTGCATTGTAAAGCTCACCTGGCTACAATCTTCAATACTGATTTCTAAAATAAATAATCTCAAATTTCCCCATTCACAAAAGTGACATGCTTTTAAATTTATTTTTAAACAAACAAAAAAATTAATGGCCTGCCAGCAAACTCAAAATTACAAAGTATATCCTGTTTGGTTTGAGAACCAAAAGTATTTCAGTTGTAGACAGAGAACTTAATGCACAAACGTGACTTTCAGGACATGAAGAGGAAGCTCACTGTGAATGGTGGAGCAAGCTCAGGGGTTCAGACACCGCATGCAGAGCTCTCCACAAACAGCCGTCTCAAAGGCAGAGCCGAGGTGCTATCGGCATGCTTTTATTACCATCTTCTTCTTATCATCTGGGTTTTGTGGACTTTTTAAACAGTATTTTTTGGACATCTTCCCATGTTACAAAAGACCTCTTATCACATTTGGAACACATCACTGGAAGTCATTTTGGTGTCTAGCATGCACGAGTTCACCCCCTGTTTCACCAAAAAGAAAGAAAGGGAACAAGTCATCTTGGAGCACACCTGTAATCCCAGCTGCTAGGGAGCTGAGGCAGGCCGATCACAAGTTTGAGGCCAACATCAACAATTTAGCAAGACACTGTCTCAAAATAAAATCAGGACTGGAGAGACAGCTCAACAGTGGGGTGTCCTGGACCCTATCCCCGGCGCCCCAAAGTCATTTTGATGTGAACTGCAGAATCCACGCTGTTTGATGCTCTTCCTCGTGACGAGCCTTTGGCAAAAAGCAGTGGCAGCCCCAGCTTTGTGCTTCAGCAAGAGGCTTCAGAAGCAGGAGGGGCAGC